AGAACAAGACTATAACTGTCTAGAACAAGACTGCAACTGTCTAGAACAAGACTGCAACTGTCTAGAACAAGACTGCAACTGTCTAGAACAAGACTGTAACTGACTATAACTGTCTGGAACAAGACTGCCACTGTCTAGAACAAGACTGTAACTGACTAGAACAGGACTGTAACTGACTATAACTGTCTAGAACAAGACTGTAACTGACTATAACTGTCTAGAACAAGACTGCAACTGTCTAGAACAAGACTGTAACTGACTATAACTGTCTGGAACAAGACTGCCACTGTCTAGAACAAGACTGTAACTGACTAGAACAGGACTGTAACTGACTATAACTGTCTAGAACAAGACTGTAACTGACTAGAACAGGACTGTAACTGACTATAACTGTCTGGAACAAGACTGCCACTGTCTAGAACAAGACTGCAACTGTCTAGAACAAGACTGTAACTGACTACAACTGTCTAGAACAAGGCTATAACTGTCTGGAACAGGACTGCAACTGTCTGGAAGAAGACTGCAACTGTCTGGAAGAAGACTGCAACTGTCTAGAACAAGACTGCAACTGTCTAGAACAAGACTGCAACTGTCTAGAACGAGACTGTAACTGTCTAGAACAAGACTGTAACTGTCTAGAACAAGACTGTTACTGTCTAGAACAAGACAGTTACTGTCTAGAACAAGTCTGTACTGACTACAACTGTCTAGAACAAGACTGCAACTGTCTAGAACAAGACTGTAACTGTCTAGAACAAGACTGCAACTGTCTAGAACAAGTCTGTACTGACTACAACTGTCTAGAACAAGACTGCAACTGTCTAGAACAAGACTGTAACTGACTATAACTGTCTGGAACAAGACTGCCACTGTCTAGAACAAGACTGTAACTGACTAGAACAGGACTGTAACTGACTATAACTGTCTAGAACAAGACTGTAACTGTCTAGAACAAGTCTGTACTGACTACAACTGTCTAGAACAAGACTGCAACTGTCTAGAACAAGACTGTAACTGACTATAACTGTCTGGAACAAGACTGCCACTGTCTAGAACAAGACTGTAACTGACTAGAACAGGACTGTAACTGACTATAACTGTCTAGAACAAGACTGTAACTGACTATAACTGTCTAGAACAAGACTGCAACTGTCTAGAACAAGACTGTAACTGACTATAACTGTCTGGAACAAGACTGCCACTGTCTAGAACAAGACTGTAACTGACTAGAACAGGACTGTAACTGACTATAACTGTCTAGAACAAGACTGTAACTGACTAGAACAGGACTGTAACTGACTATAACTGTCTGGAACAAGACTGCCACTGTCTAGAACAAGACTGTAACTGACTAGAACAGGACTGTAACTGACTATAACTGTCTAGAACAAGACTGCAACTGTCTAGAACAAGACTGTAACTGACTACAACTGTCTAGAACAAGACTATAACTGTCTGGAACAAGACTGCAACTGTCTGGAACAAGATTGCAACTGTCTGGAACAAGACTGCAACTGTCTAAAACAAGACTGTAACTGACTAGAACAAGACTGCAACTGTCTAGAACAAGACTGTAACTGACTAGAACAAGACTGCAACTGTCTAGAACAAGACTGCAACTGTCTAGACCAAGACATGAGCTCAACTTTTCTATTCTTTCAGTGCGACGTTTCGCTACAGATACCGGTAACTTTATAAAGCTTGTGATAAAACACTAGGACATAAACTGCCAGGCCAATGAACGTTTACACGTGACAATTAGATTTGACCCAAAATAACAAACATTATGAAAACGGTTCAAGGTTAAAACAGTCGCCGAAATACTACAAAGGTAAATGGGCACTATAATAACCGTGTTATACATCACCATCGAATAATTTTTTCTAAAAACCATCAAACATGGGTGTGCACTATCCTTCGCCCGGCTGTGTAGTTGTTTAGTTGAGGTTAAATACACCTTTGCCTTGACAAACACAACAGAGACAACAAACAATGATGACAGTGGATGAAGCCAGGGGAAGACATTATTTTTATGTCTTTTTTTTCTGGGTTGGCTGGTCCAGAAACTGAGGGACACAAACACTCCCCCTTTAAAAGAAAAGAAGATGTTTATAACAAACACTGTGATTGTGTCCACAGTTTTCCTTCACATGCCTGAACTATAATATCAGACCTTACCATATGCACCTTTACTGTTAATCACATACGAGTACGATAAATTAATACTTTATAACACACCCTATCCTTAATATATAAATTACAAATTCAAACGGCACGCGAACACACTACACACTGACCCAAGGCACAATAGATTTGCGTTTGTGTTGTCATCCATTCTACAAGATAAATTAAAGTATATTAAGAAAATGTCTTTATGATAGGTATTATGACAAAATGTGGTTCTAAACAGAATAACCGTATTTTACCGCTTATTCCGAAATATAGACTCTAGTGTTTCGTTGAGGAGGTCGATTATTGCTTGCAACAACTAATAACTATGGTGTTTTAAGCCAGTGCTTGATGTTATCATTAGTAGATAATTGTATAATTAGTAGACTTAGTAGAATTGTAATAGTTGGTTGGTTTGTTGTTTTACGCCGCACTCAGCAATATTCCAGCTATATGACGGCGGTCTGTAAATAATCGATGACATGCATCAACCAAGTCAGCGAGCCTGAGCACCCGATCCCGTTAGTCGCCTTCTACTTCTAATGCGACAAGCCAGTATGTTTCCTACTAGCACTCCAAGATAAGATTTGTTGGTTGGTTGGTTTTTAACTCCGCACTCAGCAATATTCCAGCTATATGACGGCGGTCTGTAAATAATCGAGTCTGGACCAGACAATCCAGTGATTAATATCATGAGCATCGATCCATGCAATTGGTTGGTTGGTTGGTTGGTTGTTTAACTCTGCACTCAGCAATATTCCAGCTATATATGACGGCGGTCTGTAAATAATCGAGTCTAGACCAGACAACCCAGTGATTAATATCATGAGCATCGATCCACGCAATTGGGAACGATAACATGCATCAACCAAGTCAGCGAGCCTGACCACCCGATCCCGTTAGTCGCCTCTTACGACAAGCGTAGTCGCCTTTTACGGCAAGCATGGGTTGATGAAGGCCTATTCTACCCCGGATATTTGTTACTAAATGTGGAGACTAAAGACATATTTACACATCTATCTTCAGAGGTTCAGGACAATTTCTGAAAAATGAAAGCAAATGGCATCTGAAGTTCAGTGAGAAAGCAATATGTGAAACGCTGGACGTCTTCATTGATAACATCTATGTGAAATTTTGGGATAAGACATTTAAGCAAGATGTAGGCATCCCCATAGGCACCAATTGTGTTTTCCGTCGTGCTGAACTGATTCGTTAGACATTATGAATAAGAATTTCTACTCCGATTGGCAAAACAAAAACAAGGGAATTTGGCCAAGAAGTTTAACTTAAGCTTTAGGTATATGTATGATCTGATATCTTTCAAGAACAGTCAAATAGCCAATTCCCGTCCACTGATTTGATCTGATTTGAGTTGTTTGATCACGGCTACAACATTGAAGTTCTGAGCACATTTTTTGTGTGCAAATTTGATAAAAATTATGTCCGAGGCAATTCCCTTTTTTAACTTGTACCAAAAGTTGCTGTGTTTTTTCAAGTGAACAATTAACTATCTGTGTGGTTGTGACGGATGTCACCGGTGGGGCAGGATATGCTCACCTTTTCGCAAACACGTGTATCGTCACTATTTGATAGTGACTCATAAACACATGCTCATGATATAGTCAGATGTTAGAAGACATTTCTTATGAATATGGAAAGGGTTTTTTTCTTTATTGGTTTGTTGTTTAACGTCGCACTCCAGCTACATAACGGCGGTCTGTAAATAATCGAGTCTGTACCAGACAATTCAGTGATTAATATCATGAGCATCGATCCAAGCAATTGGGATCAATGACATGCATCAACAAAGTCAGCGAGCCTGACCACCCGACCCCGTCAGTGGCCTTACGACAAGCATAGTCGCCTTTCACGGCAAGCATGGGTTGCTGAAGACCTATGCTACCCCGGATCTTCACGGGTCCTTTTATCTATTGACTGGGCAGATACTCAGACATTTTACTCGTCTTCATAAAGATGTTGATAAGCACAACGTAGACGCACTTGACGGCATCTGCATCAACACCTTTACGTGAACCAGACGTAGACAACGGCTGTCAATTATAGCAGCTGTTAACGATACTGATAGTGCCACTAAGCATGATAATGATATAAAAAATAAATGATACAGGCCCTGTTCAATTTCAATAAAAAACAAACTATTACATAAACTACTCTATGCTGTTAGTAAGTGAGTGAGTGAGTGAGTGAGTATGGTTTTACGCCGCTTTTAGCAATATTCCAGCAATAATACGGCGGGGGACACCAGAAATGGGCTTCACACAATGTACCCATGTCGGGAATCGAACCCGGGTCTTCGGCGTGATGAACGAACGCTTTAATCACCAGGCTACCCGACCGCCCCTGCTGGTAGTAAGAAGCTCCTAACTTGATCTGGTGGTCAGGCACTTTGACTCCGTTGATTGCGTGTCACCCTACCCAGACAGAGTAAAACGTTGCTCAAAATATAAATCACTCAGTCATTTACATGCTCCTTGCCATGTGGCTGGATTATTGGCTGATTGTATCAATAAACAACAAATAAAAAAAATAACTTCATTCCCAAATATATAGGTTACAGTGTTTCATTGAAATGATCGTGAATCACTTAGAACAAATGAAACTCATGATCTGTGATGACTGTGTGCCTTGTGCAGGCAAAACCGAGTCCGTGAGTGCGTCTGTGCGTATCTGTGTCTGTCCATGAATGTACAATAGACTTTACAGCACAGGGAGACCTAATATATCCTTGCACATAAAAAACCCATCTGTTGTTCAGATAAGAATATGCGCATTTTTCTTATCTAATATACAATGACATTTAATCCTATCGTCAAGACACCACAAGCACCTGCACTATATCGGTTATAGCGTTGATAAGGTAAGCTGTGATTTATGTTATATATCAGGCTGCATAAAAATAATAAATGGAAGTGGAATTTAAGTTAGATAAAGCATGCCAGTACAAGTATATTCAATAAATATTTACAGTTTTAGCTTCAGTTCTACACGTATTCACAAAATAATAAATGGAAGTGGAATTTAACTTACGCTGACCATTGTCTGAAGAGCTATACAGACAAGACGGGAGACAGCTGTTTTCTTCTTAACCCAAGATAACCAAGTGTGGCCGAATTTGAAGTATCTGACTTACACACTGAGACATAAGGACATTATGATCATTATGGATACAGGAAGTGATTGGAGTCATATTCAAACTTGTAGACCCGTGAAGATTCAGGGATAAAATAAGTCTTCAGCAACCCATGCTTGCCGTAAAAGGCGACTATGCTTGTCGTAAAAGGCGACAAACGGGATCGGGTGGTCAGGCTCGCTGACTTGGTTGGGGTCGATGCTCATGATATTAATTACTGGAATGTCTGGTCCAGACTCGATTATTTACAGACCGTCGTCATATAGCTGGAATATTGCTGAGTGCGGCGTTAAACAACAAACCAACCAACCAAATCAAACCTGTACTTTTAAAACACATTCCAAACGGCCATTTACATGTTCTACACAATACGAATTCGTTATCATATTAAAATATACAGATCGAGCTCTAAATAACACCAATCTGTTTGACATACAAGTGAAATTTCGCTTTATCCAAACCAGAGGATCGCATATTAGGCCGCAGCTAACATTTTTTTACAGGGAGGGCAAATATTTGCACAAGTATCACTTGTCCCCAAGTTGATTCAAATAAAACTGTTTTCTATAAAAAAAAATCCAGGGGGGCAACTGATTGGATCTCTTCTGCAGCCCCATGATGTGTGAGTGTCGAGTGTTGTACTTCCTGATGGTGCTGCTGGTCGCCCTGGAATCATGTGAGCAGGATTCTCTGTTTTAAAGACGTTGTGTTGTGTTGTGTTGTGCTGTGTTGTGCGTGATGTATGTGTTGTGTGGGTATAATGTGTGTTGCCTCCGTGTGTGTGTATGTTGTGTGTTTCCTCCGTGTGTGTGTATAGTATATGTGTTTTGTGTTCTTGTATGTCTGTGCGTGTGTTGTGCGTGATGTATGTGTTGTGTGGGTATGTTGTGTGTTTCCTCCGTGTGTGTGTATAGTATATGTGTGTTGTGTTCTTGTATGTCTGTGCGTGTGTTGTGCGTGATGTATGTGTTGTGTGGGTATGTTGTGTGTTTCCTCCGTGTGTGTGTACAGTATATGTGTGTTGTGTTCTTGTATGTCTGTGCGTGTGTTGTGCGTGATGTATGTGTTGTGTGGGTATGTTGTGTGTTTCCTCCGTGTGTGTGTATAGTATATGTGTGTTGTGTTCTTGTATGTCTGTGCGTGTGTTGTGCTATGTTTTTTTGTGGTAACTAGTTTCAACCTGCCACTTCACACTGATTCCAGTATCAGCATTGATTGCACCGACAAGCGACGTGAACCCCATTTGCAACACGACGACGAAGACGCTAATACCCCACCCCACAAAGTGTGCCCAGTACTACAATTGCAGCGCCCCAGCCATGAAATTTAACGCATCATCTTGGGGAAAAACCTACAGGAATGTCCCTACCCGCAGCTGTACAACCCTGGAACACAGAGATGTGAGCACTACAGCATGGTCCAGTGCGGTAACAGAATGGAGCCCCTGGGAAAATGTGAGTGCCCAGGCTTCCTCTTCGTTTCGATAGTTTGTTTGTATGTTTGTTGTTTAACGCGCACTCAGCAATATTCCAGCTATATAACGGCGGCCTGTACGTAATCGAGTCTGGACCAGACAATCCAGTGATTAATACCATAAACATCGATCCACGCAATTGGGATCGATGACATGCTTCAACCAAGTCAGCGAGCCTGACCACCCGATCCCGTTAGTCGCATCTTACGAAAAGCATAGTCGCCTTTTAGGGCAAGCACTGGTTGCTGAAGACCTATTCTACCCCGGAATCTTCACGGGTCTCGTTTCGATGGAAACCAAGAGCATGAATATATATATAACTTTTAACAGTTATTAACTACAGCAATCCTTAATTACTGGCCAATGGCTGAACGCGCTTCACAGTAGTTGCCATATTTTATCCATACACACAAAGATGCGTTGATTCATTTCTATTGGAAAAAGTGAACACATTTGAGTCAAATCAAATTAGAGGACTGTTTTATAAACTTGATCCCGCTATTTTTTCCCTTTGAAATCAAACGGACATGCACTTGTTGTTCGTCAGTGTTCGGTTTCAAATGACAACTTTAGGTGGATCTGTGGTATGTCTGTTTCCAGGCGAGTATCCCCGGTACGCGTGTCTTGGGTCAGTCAACTGTGGACCACCGTGTTTCGTCAACAACCCAACCTGCAGGTTCCTTCCTGACGGCCTCAACGCCTACGAAAATCGCCCCGGCTCTTCTTACTACGTTGTATGTGTTAATCAGCGACTGGTCTACACTGGCGAGTGCCACGATAACGGAACGGGGACACCTGTCTTTGACGTTAACTTGCGTGCCTGCAGGTGTTCATAAAATATATGTTATTTTTAAAATCACAATGTCAACTGAAATTAAAGAGTATATCAACAATGTATGCATTTGTCCGCACCTATATATCCCCATAGGGCAAATATATCATCAGGGGTAACTGCGTTTACAAGACTAAACCTACCAATTGGTCGTAAGGTGGAGCAATCTACATGACATTTTATACATAATTATACACATATATATATATACAAATAACTTCATGGCCAGAGAGTAATCAGTCTCGATTATATGACGAAACAGATTCCATTGGGTGTGAAAGACAAAATAGCGGTGACGATGTGAGAATGAATCACAGAAAATAAGTGTTTGTTTGTTTGTTGTTTAACGCTGCACTCAGCAATATTCCAGCTATATGACGGCGGTCTGTAAATAATCGAGTCTCGACCAGACAATCCAGTGATTGACATCATGAGCATCGATCCACGCAATTGGGATCGACGACATGCATCAACCAAGTCAGCGAGCCCGATCCCGTTAGTCGCCTCTTACGACAAGCATAGTCGCCTTTTGCAGCCAGCATAGGTTGCTGAAGACCTATTCTTCCCCGGATCTTCACGGGCCAGAAAATAAGTGATTACACCGGGCGTTCCCGAGAAGGGGAATCATATTCTGCTCCACAGGTAGCATCCGCATCAATTATAAGTGTCTGTTGTCTGAAGCCGCACAGCAGTACTCCTGCCTCTTCCGCATCATTTTGCTTGTTCCAAAAAAATCAGAGATGAAATTAGTAAATCATTGGACTATTTCCCTAACATGTACATGGTCTGGGTTAAATTAACAACGTCAGTGGCATCTTCCACGGGTATACTGAATCGTCAAAGCCTCAGGATCGCCCGATCCATTGTCAACAGCTGTCCTTGTAATTCACACGACAAACTAAGGGAAAACTTTTATTCTTTGATTCAAAGGGCATTTGTTACTATACGCGGTGGCTATTGATATAGTTATATCTCTATCGTTAGAGGTTCGGGAGAATTTATGGAATATAAAAGAAAATGTTATCTGACGTACACTGAGTGAAACAACATATGAAGTCATTGATAACATCTATGTAAAATTTGGTAGGCATCCCCATGGGCACCAATTGTGCTCCCCATCTTGCTGATCTGTTTCTCTATGCACATGAAGAGGAAGGTCTGCTCAGATTGGGAAAAGGGAATTTGGCCAAGAAGTTGAACTTAAGCATCAGGTATATTAGTGGTCTAAAATCGATCAATAATGGTGAAATAGTCATTTCCCTTCCACAGATGTACCCACCTGAGCTAGAAATAAAAGCAGACAAGTGATACTGCCTAATCTTTTTCATCTTTAGATCAACGCATAGAGATTCAGTTTGACAAAACACCATCCACAATACTTTATGACAAGAGGGATGTCAAGAGGGATAAAACACTTACCATCAGGTTTTTATGAGATTTAAAACCCTCAACCTTGGGATAAAACCTCGGGGCCGACGCTACTCGGTTTTTATCCCTTGGATTCCGGTTTTGAAACTCCCCAAACACTCTGACGTGTTTTATACTACATATAGATCAGGGTGACAAAAAAACTCTCCACAAGGCTGTATGACAAGAGGGATGGCTTGAACTTTCCAATAGTCAGCCTTCACTGTTTACATTTCAGTACTTTTGAGGTACATTCGGGCATGTTCTTTCTGTGAATATTTCAAAGAGCGTCATGCCATTCTTTCTCATGAGTGGTTTAATCAATGTTACAACATACAAGACCTCAGCAAAGCTTTCAAAGCAAAGTTGTATGGTAGACATGAGGAGGACATTTCCAAATTTGACCCATCAGTGACAAAAATAGTGATGATGCCAGGTGAGTGTTATCCCGCCCTTCCAGTGGCACCCACGACAAATACAGGTAAAGGTAAATTGTTCACCTGAAAAAACACAGGAACATTTGGAACAAGTCAAAACAGGGAATTGCATTCGACATTTATGTCAGTGATACCTTGACAACAACAACGTATGCACACTTCATGAGACCTGGATCAACACCTTAACGCGTTCCATCCACATATACGGCTCTCGACTTAAGAAGCTTTCGTGCGTTCGTGCCTGTGTGTATCCTTGCGTGTCTGTACAAAAGGCGCTTCACAAAACGCGAACAGTTAATGAATAAAAAAGCATATCTGCTCAGATAACCACTTGTGCATTTCCCATATCTAAATATACATGGACATTTAAATCCTATAGTGAAGAGGTAGGCAAATGACGCTTCACGTCAGCTGAAGAATAGCGACTTTAATGCGCAACGGTCATTCCATATTCCACACTGATAACGCCTGTCTGTTACAGGGACAGCGTGCGCTGCACTTAAGACGCCTGAAGCGTAACTACAACAAGCACCTGCCCGTGAACAGTTCTAGCGCTGTGAAGGTAAGCTTACATTCATTTTAAGTATAATGCTGCATAAAGATAATAAATTATTTCTTCATTATTTTTACTGAACACAAAAGTGAGAGGGACACTGTTGATTATTTTCCTGCCCATAATACCAACAAACATAACTGGGCACACACTGAATCCGGATCCTTAAATATATACGAAACTCGTTTGTGTTCTATTTATAGTCAACAAAGCCAACTTGAGGTGACGAGCCAATACCGAAGAAACATTTCCGTCACTTTTAGCCGTATTAAAGCTGTACTTTTGTAGTTTGGAGTTATCGTGAGATACCTATTTTAATCTAACTATTAGTGGAATATTAGTTAGATAAAACATACCAGTATAATTATATTTAATAAATACGTTTGTATTCACCGTTTTAACTTCAGGTCTACAAGGCATACACATTCTATATGGCTGACCTTTATCTGTAGGAGTCTACACAAGCAAGACCATAGACAGGTGCTGCCGAATTTGAAGTAGCTGACTCACAAACTGGGACATTTGGACATTATGGAAACAGGAAGTGATTGGAGTCATATCCAAACTTGTACTTTTAAAACACTTTCCAAACAGTCATTATCATGTCATTCAAAATATCAATATTTCTTATATCAAAATATCCGGATCGCTCTTTAAGTTACACCAACCTGTTTAACATACAACACCCGAAATTTCGTTTACTGATCAGCTCCAACATGTTTATGCATTAGCTTTCTTGTAGACGGTTCGGATCTCATCAACAGCCCCATGATGTGTGAGTGTCGCGTGTTGTGCTTGCTGATGGTGTTGCTGATCGCCCTGGAATCATGTGAGCAGGCTTCTCTTTTTAATGATGCTGTGTTGTACTTGGGTGGAGGTAAAGGAAATATTGAGGATCGTTAGTCTGCGGAGGTAGGTAAGTGAGTGAGTGAGTGACTGACTGAGTGTGATTACACATCGCCTTCAGTAATATTCCAGTAATATCAGGGCGGGTACTAGAACCCGGGCCTTCAGTGTGAAGAGCGAATGCTTTAATCACCGGGCTACCCCTTCCCGGCGGAAATACGAAAGGGTAGGTTGAGAGATGGATTTGGTGAGGAGAGTTGGTCGGTGGAGGTGAGATTGACTGATTGGTTGGTTTGTTGTTTAACGCCGCACTCAGCAATATTCCAGCTATATGACGGCGGTCTGTAAATAATCGAGTCTAGACAAGACAATCCAGTGATTAATATCATGAGCATCGATCCACGCAATTGGGATCAATGACATGCATCAACCAAGTCAGCGAGCCTGACCACCCGATCCTGTTAGTCGCCTTTTACGACAAGCATAGCCACCTTTGCGGCAAGCATTGGTTGCTGAAGACCTATTCTACCCCGGAATCATCACGGGTCGCTGGAGGTGAGAGAATAGGTGGATGTGATGTGCAGTGTAAGAGAGGTTAGAGTGGGGATCGGATAGATTGAGAACGTTGTTCCCCAGAGGTAAAAGGTTAGGGTTGAGATAGGGTCGGTGAGGGAGAGAGAGAGGGAGATAGGGGTAGAGGTGGGTGAAGAGTGTTTGGCGTCACTAGTAACAAGGGATAAAGTGGACCTAAGAGTCCTCACTCGCAAACAAGTATTAAACCTGTCACTTCACACTGATTCCAGCATCAGCTTTGATTGCACCCACAAGCGACGTCGACGTGAACCCCATTTGCAAGACAACGATGGAGACACTGATCCCCCACCCTACTAAGTGTGCCCAGTACTACAACTGTAGCGCACCGGGCATGATAATACATCGTTACGGCTTTTTAGGACAAAACCTACAGGAATGTCCCTTCCCGGAGCTGTACAACCCTGAAACACAGAGATGTGAGCACTACTGTAAAGTCACGTGTGGGAACAGAACAGAGCCCCTGGGGAAGTGTAAGTACCCAGGTGTAGTGTTCACATGTTAGCACATGAGTATAACACAGTGCGATATGTATTTTAGCGGTATGCATGGTGTAATGAGGCATGAGAGTTATGCCCCTTAGGTCATGGAAGCGAGTGAATAACATTAAGCAAGGTACACGCTACTAGGTCTTCAATCGTTTATTATCCCCCGCCCAACGAAGTTGGTGGGGGATATAGAAATGGGTTCCGTCCGTCCGTCCGTGCGTGTGTGCGTGCGTCCCGAAATAGTTTCCGGAGCATAACTGAGAAACCATTAAAGATTTCTCTACGAAACTTTGCATATCTATCAGACTCATGCTGAACTGGTGCCTTTTGCTCTTTAGGAATTTTAGAAATGTTTATTTTTTACGTTTCCATGGCAACAAGTTGGACTTAGGTTCTATAGGGTGGTGTTCGTTTCCGGAGCGTAACTCATAATCTGTTAAATACTTTCTTACAAAACTTTGCCTGTCTGCAAGGCACAAACTGAACTGGTTCCTTTTGATATTTAGCACTTTTAGAATTTTTTATTTTTTTTACGTTTCCATGGCAACAAGTTGGATTTAAGTTTTAATATAGGGTGGGTTCACTTATGGAGTATAACAAATAAATTGTTAAATATTTCCTTGCCAAACATTGCATGTCTATATGTAAAGCACATACCGAACTGGTGCCATTTGATATTAAGGAGTTTTAGAAGTGTTTATTTTACGATTTCCATTGCAGATATTTTGACACAGGCTAAGAAATGTTGGGTCAGTTACCTCTGGTTTGGGACCATAACGCGTTAAATTGGCGGGGGATATAGATGACTTCGTCGACTATACACGTTTCATCATCCAGTGTGACACAGGCCATCAGCTGCTTAAAACATTAATATTACACCTGGCTTCCCTCTTCTCAATAGAAACAAAGAGCATGGACATATATACCTTTAACATTAATAAACTACAGTAACTGGCAAATTTGCCGCAAATGTCTGAAAGCATTTATTTCACAGGAATGCAATAGGTTTTTATCCCACATACACCAGGCTAGCGTACATTTCAACTGAATGAAAGAGTACACGTTTGATGTGATCATATATAGGTAATAACAGATTATTATTCAAAATATATCAATCGTAAAACTATGAATGGTATACAATATAACCTACATCAAAGCATGTAACGTCGGTTCATGGAGGATCAAATCTTGCTTCACATTGATTTAACGAACCTGATGAAAACGTTCTCACTGAGTTTGAATGTCAGTAAAAGTAAACAAAGACGAATATTGATGTCAACATGGATTTAATCAATTACGTCATCCATCTGATATTAAAATATATCAATACGACAGAATGAATCACATGGACATGTGTTCTGAAGACACATAGGCTCCAAAAGACGGTTTCATCCTATCATGGAAATAGACGCTTGTTGTAAAACTGAAGCTGTTCCTGCTAATGTTGTTTCTGGGTGATAAATGCGTGTTTCCGCATCTCCATCAATGCACTCTACCACGTCACCTTTCTTATGTTGTCAACCGCCTTATGGCGTAATTCCTTTACAAAAGCATGTTGCTAAATTCTGTTGACACGTACCTGTTTCGGATCCGGTGATCATGCTGGCCATGGAGAGACAGACAGACAGTGTATTTGTATATGTGGCCAAAAGAACAATAACCAATGCTTGCTGTAAACATCTTCCCGAGGCAAGAGGGTTAACTGACTTTAAAAGTCCAGTTTCCACCCTTACCGAACTAGGCTGGAATTCCTGGGCTCAACAAACAAACAAACAAACAAACGAAAAGTCCTGTACTGGCCATGGAACTGTTGTTGTTGTTGTTGTTTCGGTGATTGAGCTTTAACCTTTAATCATTTACAGGTGTTCAGGCAACGAGGCAAATTTACACCTTTTTTGTTTAGGTAGTGATGGACAATGCGTGTGGGGGCATTGCGTTGTGTTCCAGATTTGTTCCCTGTGTCCATCCACTTGATCTCTCTTTGTAGGGATGTTTATGTAGCTTTGGAATACAAAAGAGGAATGGAAATGTCTTTAGGTTTTAACATACTGGCCTTATTCTAGTACGTGGTATAATGTCGTATGTCACTTATACCAAGTTCTTTCATGAGTCTTTAGTTCCAATTGTACATTATTCATTTTCTTTCAGAACCGTGGACATCAAGGCCATTAATTAGGCACGCTCTTGCCCCCTTATGTACGGTCTAACCAGCTACTGGAAATTTCCAGTGTCATCACAACATAGAATATTCTACAATGCAGTCATGTTTCTGTAACACTCCATCACAGTTCACTACAGTTTACACAGCACACCAGCATCTGAATATAGTAACTTCCTCACAACTGTTTACATTAAATAGTACAACATTCCTGACAACTAATCACTGTCCAAATACAATGCGTTGATCCCCTACCCAATCTCAACAGAAACAATGTTACACAGTTCAATCATCCAAACTACTGTTTTCAAATTAGAGGACTGTTAAATAAAATTGATCCTGCAAAATTTGTCATTTGAATATTAAGAGGGTCATACGATGTTGTTGGTGTGCTTTCGGATTCAAATTACAAATTTACCGGGATCTGAAATATGTTTGTTTCCAGGCGAATATGAACAGCACGCATGTCCTGGGGGAAAGTACTGTGGGATACCATGCCACGTTCACAATCCCACCTGCAGGAACCTCTCCGACGGCCTCAACGTCTACGAATGGCGCCTCAACACTCCCAACTACGTGGTGTGCGTTAATCAGCGACTGGTCTACACTGGCGTGTGCCACGATTACGGAACGGGAGCACCTATTTTTGACGCCAAATTGCGCGCCTGCAGGTGTTCGTAAAAAATCCGTTGCTTTACAAATCACAACTGCAATGTAAATTAAAGAGTTCCTAAAACAATACATGTATTTGTCTGCAAGTATTTAACAACGGGGTATCCTAACACAAATGTACCCCAGGGGTAATTGCGTTCACAAGACTCAACCTACCCACTCGATGGCAACTTGCCAATGCCATGAGATGGAGCAAATAATACCAACCCCCCACCCCCCTCTCCATTTGGGACCATTGGGGCCTGGAATTTGTGTTTGGAGTTCAGATAATAATTATGTCAAAACTTTGACCAGACAATCCAATACATAGCGTGTTTATGGATTATGTTGGAATTACGTTTGTTGCGTACATGTGCAGAAATCCTGCTGCTAAAAAGTATAGGGAAATACTTCAGAAACTGTGCAACACACTAGTAAGGGGCAGTCGTTATGTCTCCACCCAAACATGGTCCTTTTATAAATAATTGATGAATGCTTCGTTAGTCCAGATTATCGTTAATTCGTTATTCCATTTGGACGAGTGAGTGAGCGAGCGAGCGAGCGAGTGAATGAGTGAATCTGGGTCTACGTTATGACACACACTAACATGGACGTATGCACGACCAAAGTCATTCTTTCATGAGTTTCATTTGTTCCAAGCAATTAACGATTTTCTCAATAAAATACAGGAGTCTATAGTTTGGAATGAACAGTATATACATGTTTATATACATATGTATGTTAAATGTCACAGTCAGCAATATTCCAGATATTTGAGGGTGACTTTGGCGTGCATTAAAATTGCTAAGCTCATTCTTTCAGACAAAACTTTATAACTTTAAGCAGAAACTATTGTATCCCCTCCCTCCCCTAATGCTAAATGGTCCTACTAATGCGAATTTATATTTCATAGGGATTTTTCTGATACAACGTGGAAACATGGTATTTTAAAAGATTTGCATGAATTTGGATTGAGGGGCAGATTATCTCAGTTCATATCGCAATTTTTAAACAACAGACAATTTCAAGTACGACTGGGATCTACCTTGTCTGATCATTTCGATCAAGATCAGAGCGTCCCTCAAGGCAGCATACTATCAGTCACCCTTTTCAGCATCAAAATTAGTAGTCTCACTAAAGTATTAAACAATAGCGTTGATGGTTCACTTTTTGTGGACGATTTCAACATTTCTTGTCGTGGTAAGAATATGAATACAATAGAAAGACAGCTACAGCTCTGTCTTAACAAAATTAAAAAATGGGCAAACGAAAACGGCTTCAAATTTTCTAAATCCAAAACAAACTGTATTCACTTTTGTCGTAAATACAAACCTCACAAGGATTCAGATGTATTTTTAGATGGTACTCCTATCAAGGTATCATTAAATATCTAAAGGCAAAGTCGTTTTAAATTCCGAGTGGGGAGGCGATCAGACCACCCTCTTTCACTTGTACAGATCGTTAATACGCTCCAAACTAGACTATGGTTCCATTGTCTATGGTGGAGCCTGCAAAAGCAAGTTAGAAAAATTGGACACTATACACCATCAAGGCCTAAGACTCTGTCTTGGTGCTTTTAGGACCTCTCCCGTGGACAGTTTGTATGTGGAGGCAGATGAACCTTCACTCGAACTGCGCCGCATTAAACTTTCACTGCAATATATCACTAAACTGCACTCAAATAAATGTAATCCAGCATACAACTGTGTTTTCCACCCTCAATATGAAAACCTGTTTCAAAATCTATCAAACCTGGTCCCACCATTTGGAATCAGAATTCAACCACACATCACTGCAGCTAAAATAGATTTAAATATTATATCACCTCGGATCTTCACGGCGTTCCAGAGATAAGAAGACATATCCATTCCTCTTGAGTAATGGATTCAACAGCTCAAATAGAAATGCGTAAACAGAGAGATATATTGCTGGGTCCAGCAAATGTACAACCAAATCCCTGCCTTAGTGATTAACCGCAACCATTAATACAATCAAGGGCGGAGATTCTTCATATTCACAGAAAGTATTAGTGAGTGAGTATGGTTTTACGCCGCTTTTAGCAATATTCCAGCAATATCAAGGCGGGGGACACCAGATATGGACTTCACACAGTGTGCCCATGTCGGGAATCGAACCCGGGTCTTCGGTGTGACGAGCAAACGCTTTAACCACTAGGCTACCTGACCGCCCCAGGAAGTATTAGACAAGTGGAATCAATACCATGTGGGTTTTTTAAACACTGAAAACTCAGTGAAGTACAAGGTTCAGTTCTGTCAAAACATTTGATTTATCAACTTTGTACACTACTGTCCGACATTACAAATTTAAGGAAAGACTTCTCTTCTTGATCCGTGGGGTATTTGTTACTAAATGTGGAGACTAAAGATATAGTTACATATCTATCTTCAGAGGTTCAGGACACTTTCTGAGTGAGTGAGTGAGTGAGTGAGTATAGTTTTACGCCGCTTTTAGCAATATTCCAGCAATATCACGGCGGGGGACACCAGAAATGGGCTTCACACATTGTACCCATGTCGGGAATCGAACCCGGGTCCTCGGCGTGACGTGCGAACGCTTTAACCACTAGGCTACCCGACCGCCCCTGACAATTTCTGAAAAATGAAAGCAAATGACATCTGAGGTTCCGTGGGAAAACAATATGTGAAACGCTGGTCGTCTTCATTGATAACATTCCCGTGAAGATCCGGTGTACACCAGGTCTTCAGCAACCCATACTTGCCGTAAAAGGCGACTTTGCTTGTCGTAAGAGGCGACTAACGGGATCGGGTGGTCAGGCTCGCTCATGATGTCAATCACTGGATTGTCTGGTCCAGACTCGATAACTTACAGACCGCCATCATATATGCATTTTTTACACAAACTAGTCTATGCTGGTAGTGAGAAGTTACTAACTTGATCTGGTGGTCAGGCTCTTTGACTCGGTTGATTGCATGTCCCCCTACCCAAAATATATATCACTGGATTGTGTGGTTCAAACTCAGTCATTTACATGCTCCTTGCCATGTAGCTGATTATTGGCTGATTGCATCAATAAACAACAAAGAGAAAAATAACTTCATTCCCAAATATAGGTTACAGTGTTTCATTGAGAAGATCGTGAATTACTTAGAACAAATGAAACTCATGATCTGTGATGACTGTGTGCCTTGTGCCGGCAAAACCGAGTCCGTGCGTGCGTCTGTACGTATCTTTGTCTGTCCATGTATGTACAACAGACTTTACAGCACAGGGAGACCTAATATATCCTTGCACATAAAAAACCCATCTGTTGTTCAGATAAGAATATGCGCATTTTTCTTATCTAATATACAATGACATTTAATCCTATAGTCAAGACACCACAAGCACCTGCACTATATCGGTTATAGCGTTGATAAGGTAAGCTGTGATTTATGTTATATATCAGGCTGCATAAAAATAACAAATGGAAGTGGAATTTAAGTTAGATAAAGCATGCCAGTACAAGTATATTCAATAAATATTTACAGTTTTAGCTTCAGTTCTACACGTATTCACAAAATAATAAATGGAAGTGGAATTTAACTTACGCTGACCATTGTCTGAAGAGCTATACAGACAAGACGGGAGACAGCTGTTTTCTTCTTAACCTAAGATAACCGAGTGTGGCCGAATTTGAAGTTTCTGACTGACACACTGAGACATAAGGACATTATGATCACTATGGATACAGGAAGTGATTGGAGTCATATTCAAACTTGTAGACCCGTGAAGATTCCGGGATAGAATAGGTCTTCAGCAACCAATACTTGCCGTAAAAGGCGACTATGTTTGTCGTAAAAGGCGACAAACGGGATCGGGTGGTCAGGCTCGCTGACTTGGTTGAAGCATGTCATCGATCCCAATTGCGTGGATCGATGCTCATGATATTAATCACTGGATTGTCTGGTCCAGACTCGATTATTTACAGACCGCCGTCATATAGCTGGAATATTGCTGAGTGCGGCGTTAAACAACAAACCAACCAACCAAATCAAACCTGTACTTTTAAAACACATTCCAAACGGCCATTTACATGTTCTACACAATACGAATTTGTTATCATATTAAAATATACAGATCGAGCTCTGAATAACACCAATCTGTTGGACATACAAGTGAAATTTCGCTTTATCCAAACCAGATGATCGCATATTAGGCCGCAGTTAACATTTTTTTACAGGGAGGGCAAATATTTGCACAAGTATCACTTGTCCCCAAGTTGATTCAAATAAAACTGTTTTCTATAAAAAAAAAATCCAGGGGGGCATCTGATTGGATCTCTTCTGCAGCCCCATGATGTGTGAGTGTCGAATGTTGTACTTCCTGATTGTGCTGCTGGTCGCCCTGGAATCATGTGAGCAAGATTCTCTGTTTTAAAGACGTTGTGTTGTGTTGTGCGTGATGTATGTGCTGTGTGGGTATGTTGTGTGTTGCCCCCGTGAGTGTGTATAGTATATGTGTGTTGTGTTCTTGTATGTCTGTGCGTGATGTATGTGTTGTGTGGGTATGTTGTGTGTTGCCTCCGTGTGTGTGTATAGTATATGTGTGTTGTGTTCTTGTATGTCTGTGCGCGTGTTGTGCTACGTTTTTGTGGTAACTAGTTTCAACCTGCCACTTCACACTGATTCCAGTATCAGCTTGATTGCACCGACAAGCGACGTGAACCCCATTTGCAACACGACGACGGAGACGCTAATACCCCACCCCACAAAGTGTGCCCAGTACTACAATTGTAGCGCCCCAGCCATGAAATTTAACCGCATCATCTTGGGGAAGAACTTACAGGAATGTCCCTACCCGCAGTTGTACAACCCTGGAACACAGAGATGTGAGCACTACAGCATGGTCCAGTGCGGTAACAGAATGGAGCCCCTGGGAAAATGTGAGTGCCCAGGCTTCCTCTTCGTTTCGATAGTTTGTTTGTTTGTTTGTTTGTTTGTTGTTTAACGCCGCACTCAGCAATATTCCAGCTATATAACGGCGGCCTGTACGTAATCGAGTCTGGACCAGACAATCCAGTGATTAATACCATAAACATCGATCCACGCAATTGGGATCGATGACATGCTTCAACCAAGTCAGCGAGCCTGACCACCCGATCCCGTTAGTCGCATCTTACGAAAAGCATAGTCGCCTTTTAGGGCAAGCACTGGTTGCTGAAGACCTATTCTACCCCGGAATCTTCACGGGTCTCGTTTCGATGGAAACCAAGAGCATGAATATATATATAACTTTTAACAGTTATTAACTACAGCAATCCTTAATTACTGGCCAATGGCTGAACGCGCTTCACAGTAGTTGCCATATTTTATCCATACACACGAAGATGCGTTGATTCATTTCTATTGGAAAAAGTGAACACATTTGAGTCAAATCAAATTAGAGGACTGTTTTATAAACTTGATCCCGCTATTTTTTCCCTTTGAAATCAAACGGACATGCACTTGTTGTTCGTCAGTGTTCGGTTTCAAATGACAACTTTAGGTGGATCTGTGGTATGTCTGTTTCCAGGCGAGTATGCCCGGTACGCGTGTCTTGGGTCAGTCAACTGTGGACCACCGTGTTTCGTCAACAACCCAACCTGCAGGTTCCTTCCTGACGGCCTCAACGCCTACGAAAATCGCCCCGGCTCTTCTTTCTACGTTGTATGTGTTAATCAGCGACTGGTCTACACTGGCGAGTGCCACGATAACGGAACGGGGACACCTGTCTTTGACGTTAACTTGCGTGCCTGCAGGTGTTCATAAAATATATGTTATTTTTAAAATCACAATGTCAACTGAAATTAAAGAGTATATCAACAATGTATGCATTTGTCCGCACCTATATATCCCCATAGGGCAAATATATCATCAGGGGTAACTGCGTTTACAAGACTAAACCTACCAATTGGTCGTAAGGTGGAGCAATCTACATGACATTTTATACATAATTATACACATATATATATATACAAATAACTTCATGGCCAGAGAGTAATCAGTCTCGATTATGTGACGAAACAGATTCCATTGGGTGTGAAAGACAAAATAGCGGTGACGATGATATGAATGAATCACAGAAAATAAGTGTTTGTTTGTTTGTTGTTTGACGCTGCACTCAGCAATATTCCAGCTATATGACGGCGGTCTGTAAATAATCGAGTCTCGACCAGACAATCCAGTGATTGACATCATGAGCATCGATCCACGCAATTGGGATCGACGACATGCATCAACCAAGTCAGCGAGCCCGATCCCGTTAGTCGCCTCTTACGACAAGCATAGTCGCCTTTTGCAGCCAGCATAGGTTGCTGAAGACCTATTCTTCCCCGGATCTTCACGGGCCAGAAAATAAGTGATGACACCGGGTGTTCGCGAGAAGGGGAATCATATTCTGCTCCACAGGTAGCATCCGCATCAATAATAAGTGTCTGTTGTCTGAAGCCGCACAGCAGTACTCCTGCCTCTTCCGCATCATTTTGCTTGTTCCAAAAAAATCAGAGATGAAATTAGTAAATCATTGGACTATTTCCCTAACATGTACATGGTCTGGGTTAAATTAACAACGTCAGTGGCATCTTCCACGGGTATACTGAATCGTCAAAGCCTCAGGATCGCCCGATCCATTGTCAACAGCTGTCCTTGTAATTCACACGACAAACTAAGGGAAAACCTTTATTCTTTGATTCAAAGGGCATTTGTTACTATACGCGGTGGCTATTGATATAGTTATATCTCTATCGTTAGAGGTTCGGGAGAATTTGTGAAATATAAAAGAAAATGTTATCTGACGTAAACTGAGAAAACAACATATGAAGTCATTGATAACATCTATATCACACAATGTAAAATTTGGTAGGCATCCCCATGGGCACCAATTGTGCTCCCCATCTTGCTCATCTGTTTCTTTATGCACATGAAGAGGAAGGTCTGCTCAGATTGGGAAAAGGGAATTTGGCCAAGAAGTTTAACTTAAGCATCAGGTATATTGGTGGTCTAAAATCGTTCAATAATGGTGAAATAGTCATTTCCCTTCCACAGATGTACCCACCTGAGCTAGAAATAAAAGGAGACAAGTGATACTGCCTAATCTTTTTCATCTTTAGATCAACGCATAGAGATTCAGTTTGACAAAACACCATCCACAATACTTTATGACAAGAGGGATGACAAGATGGATAAAACACTTACCATCGGGTTTTTATGAGATTTAAAACCCTCAACCTTGGGATAAAACCTCGGGGCCGACGCCGCTCGGTTTTATCCCTAGGATTCCGGTTTTGAAACTCCCCAAACACTCCGACGTGTTTTATACTACATATAGATCAGGGTGACAAAAAAACTCGCCACAAGACTGTATGACAAGAGGGATGGCTTGAACTTTCCAATAGTCAGCCTTCACTGTTTACATTTCAGTACTTTTGAGGTACATTCGAGCATGTTCTTTCTGTGAATATTTCAAGGAGCGTCATGCCATTCTTTCTCATGAGTGGTTTAATCAATGTTACAACATACAAGACCTCAGCAAAGCTTTCAAAGCAAAGTTGTATGGTAGACATGTGGAGGACATTTCCAAATTTGACCCATCAGTGACAAAAATAGTGATGATGCCAGGTGAGTGTTATCCCGCCCTACCAGTGGCACCCACGACAAATACAGGTAAAGGTAAATTGTTCACCTGAAAAAACACAGGAACATTTGGAACAAGTCAAAACAGGGAATTGCATTCGACATTTATGTCAGTGATACCTTGACAACAACAACGTATGCACACTTCATGAGACCTGGATCAACACCTTAACGCGTTCCATCCACATATACGACTCTCGACTTAAGAAGCTTTCGTGCGTTCGTGCCTGTGTGTATCCTTGCGTGTCTGTACAAAAAGGCGCTTCACAAAACGCGAACAGTTAATGAATAAAAAAGCATATCTGCTCAGATAACCACTTGTGCATTTCCCATATCTAAATATACATGGACATTTAAATCCTATAGTGAAGAGGTAGGCAAATGACGCTTCACGTCAACTGAAGAATAGCGACTTTAATGCGCAACGGTCATTCCATATTCCACACTGATAACGCCTGTCTGTTACAGGGACAGCGTGTGCTGCACTTAAGACGCCTGAAGCGTAACTACAACAAGCACCTGCCCGTGAACAGTTCTAGCGCTGTGAAGGTAAGCTTACATTCATTTTAAGTATAATGCTGCATAAAGATAATAAATTATTTCTTCATTATTTTTACTGAACACAAAAGTGAGAGGGACACTGTTGATTATTTTCCTGCCCATAATACCAACAAACATAACTGGGCACACACTGAATCCGGATCCTTAAATATATACGAAACTCGTTTGTGTTCTATTTATAGTCAACAAAGCCAACTTGAGGTGACGAGCCAATACCGAAGAAACATTTCCGTCACTTTTAGCCGTATTAAAGCTGTACTTTTGTAGTTTGGAGTTATCGTGAGATACCTATTTTAATCTAACTATTAGTGGAATATTAGTTAGATAAAACATACCAGTATAATTATATTTAATAAATACGTTTGCTTTCACCGTTTTAACTTCAGGTCTACAAGGAATACACATTCTATATGGCTGACCTTTATCTGTAGGACTCTACACAAGCAAGACCATAGACAGGTGCTGCCGAATTTGAAGTAGCTGACTCACATACTGGGACATTTGGACATTATGGAAACAGGAAGTGATTGGAGTCATATCCAAACTTGTACTTTTAAAACACTTTCCAAACAGTCATTATCATGTCATTCAAAATATCAATATTTCTTATATCAAAATATCCGGATCGCTCTTTAAGTTACACCAACCTGTTTAACATACAACACCCGAAATTTCGTTTACTGATCAGCTCCAACATGTTTATGCATTAGCTTTCTTGTAGACGGTTCGGATCTCATCAACAGCCCCATGATGTGTGAGTGTCGCGTGTTGTGCTTGCTGATGGTGTTGCTGATCGCCCTGGAATCATGTGAGCAGGCTTGTCTTTTTAATGATGCTGTGTTGTACTTGGGTGGAGGTAAAGGACATATTGAGGATCGTTAGTCTGCGGAGGTAGGTAAGTGAGTGAGTGAGTGAGTGACTGACTGAGTGTGATTACACATCGCCTTCAGTAATATTCCAGTAATATCAGGGCGGGGGACTAGAACCCGGGCCTTCAGTGTGAAGAGCGAATGCTTTAATCACCGGGCTACCCCTTCCCGGCGGAAATACGAAAGGGTAGGTTGAGAGATGGATTTGGTGAGGAGAGTTGGTCGGTGGAGGTGAGATTGACTGATTGGTTGGTTTGTTGTTTAACGCCGCACTCAGCAATATTCCAGCTATATGACGGCGGTCTGTAAATAATCGAGTCTGGACAAGACAATCCAGTGATTAATATCATGAGCATCGATCCACGCAATTGGGATCAATGACATGCATCAACCAAGTCAGCGAGCCTGACCACCCGATCCTGTTAGTCGCCTTTTACGACAAGCATAGCCACCTTTGTGGCAAGCATGGGTTGCTGAAGACCTATTCTACCCCGGAATCTTCACGGGTCGGTGGATGTGAGAGAATAGGTGGATGTGATGTGCAGTGTAAGAGAGGTTAGTGTGGGGATCGGGTAGATTCAGAACGTTGTTCCCAAGGGGTAAAAGGTTAGGGTGGAGAAAGGGTCGGTGAGGGAGAGAGAGAGGGGGATAGAGGTGGGTGAAGAGTGTTTGGCGTCACTAGTAACAAGGGATGAAGAGTCCTCACTCGCAAACAAGTAATAAACCTGTAACTTCACACTGATTCCAGCGTCAGCTTTGATTGCACCCAAAAGCGACGTCGACGTCAACCCCATTTGCAAGACAACGACGGAGACGCTGATTCCCCACCTCACTGAGTGTGCCCAGTACTACAACTGTAGCGCACCTGCCATGACTATACATGGCAGACCCTGGGAGAAGAACCGCCAGGAATGTCCCTTCCCGGAGCTGTACAACCCTGATACACAGAGATGTGAGCACTACAGCATGGTCACGTGTGGCAGTAGAACAGAGCCCCTGGGGAAGTGTAAGTACCCAGGTGTAGTGTTCACATGTGAGCACATGAGTATAACGCAATGCGATGTGTATTCTAGCGGTATGCTTGGTGTAATGAGGCATGAGAGTTATGCCCCTTAGATCATGGAAGCGAGGGAATAACATTAAGCATGGTACACGCCACTAGGTCTCGTCCGTGCGTGTGTGCGTGCGTCCCTAACTAGTTTCCGGTTCATAACTCAGAAACCGTTAAATATTTCGCTACGAAACTTTGCATATCAATCAGACTCATGCTGAACTGGTGAGTATTGCTATTTAGGAAGTTTAGATTTTTTTATTTTTTACGTTTCCATGGCAACAAGTTCTATAAGGGTGGTGTTAATTTCTGGAGCGTAACTCAAAAACTGTTAAATACCTCTTACAAAACTTGGTATGTCTACCAGGCATATACTAAACTGGTGCCTTTTGCTATTTAGGAATTTTGAAAATACTGCCGTGAACGGCGACTATGCTTGTCAAAGTTGTTGCCAGGGAAATGAAAAAAAATTATATTCCAACAAATAGCAAAAGGCACTTGATGACAAACTGGTCATATGTGTGCATAGTTTCAAGGAAGAATACCATTAGTTTTTAAAGATGTAGTCAAAGTCAAACTTCTTGCCATGGAAACCTCCATTTCAGCAAAGTCTTACTTGTGTCCATGGATACACGGAAAAATTAAATTTTGAAACATTCCTAAATTTGGCAAAAATACAAATTTTTAAAATTACAAAATAGCAAAAGGCACCACTTCAGCATATATATCTGATATATCTTTCAAGTTTCGATCAAATATACTGAATGGTTTTCGAATAATTCTGCCCGGAAACGAACCCCATCCCCAATGGAGTCTTTGTCCAACTTCTTTTCATAAAGATTTAAAAAAAATAAAAATTCGAAAAATCCCCAAATATCAAAAGGCACCCCTTCAATATGTGACTGACAGATTTGCCAAGTTTCTATCAAATACACTGATCGCTATATCAACCAACGAAGCAAGCCACAGGTCATGATCAATGTCCACCCGTTAAGAATCGCATCTGTCGTTTTGTCTTTTCCTTGCCTAAATGGGCTTTTTACAACAGAATCTTTTTTTTTCATGGACACTGTGAACAAATAGTATTTAAACACTTTTTTGTGTACATTTCAGTATCATTATTAAGGACATGTCTGCCATGCTAATATATGGTTGATATAATCAAATCAAATCAAATTAGGTGACTGTTATATATACGATTGATTCGCTAAGTTTGCGATTTTAAACCGATCGGAACGCTGTTTTGAATATTCAGAGGGTCATATATAAACTAAGCGGCAAAAGAAAGTAAAGGTTGGCAATTTGTAATTTTCCTAAAAACAGCGATTACTAGTGGAAAGTGGGTATTGGGAATATGACTGCCTAGGAACAGGTACCAAAAAAAGGCCTCACCCGAACGAGGCACCTTTGACAGCGCTCGTGCGGTGACAAAAAAATGGTTAAAAAGGTTTCCCGCCTGTGGCATAAACTGCACGTGCATGTTAGCTGTATATGCGTTCGTCTGCAGGGTATAACCACACGTGATGAAAGCACAAAAAGGAAATGCCACGACTGTCACAGGAGCAGAGAGAGAGAGCCATCGGTATGGCCGAAATGGGGGCAACATAGGTCCAAATTGCTAGAAGGTTTGGTTGTACACCATTGACAGTAGCCAGGCTGAGTCAACGGTACAGGCAGACAGGGAGGACACAGGACAGGCCTAGAACCGGACGACCCGAGTGACAACACCACTGGAAGAGTGAATGAGTGAGTATGGTTTTGAGCCGCTTTTAGCAATATTCCAGCAATATCACGGCGGGGGACACCAGAAATGGGCTTCACACATTGTACCCATGTCGGGAATCGAACCCGGGTCTTCAGCGTGACGAGCGAACGCTTTAACCACTAGGCTACCCGACCGCCCCCCACTGGAAGACGGTCAGATACGGCTGATTCACCTGCGAAACAGATTCGTAACGGCGACGGCAGCAACAGTGTTGGGGCATCCGATAAGCCAAAATACAGTACTACGACGACTTCGTGCTGCTGGAATCCGAGCGTATCGTCCTTTCCGAGGAGTGGTACTGACTGCTCAACATCGACGCCTGAGACTGCGATGGGCGAGGCAGGTTTGACGCTGGCAAGCGAGAAATTGGCGTCGAGTGCTGTTTACTGATAAAAGTCGGTTTAACGTGTTTCGAAATGTCGCCAGACAACGAGTTTATCGACGCAGAGGGGAACGTTTGGCTCCGGCGTGTTTTCGAGAGGTCCATCCATTCGGTGTGGGGCGGTATTGTGGAGATCGGAAGACTGTTTTGGTGATTATGCAGGGAAACCCGAACGCTGTGCATTACAGAGACCAAGTGTCGCAGCCAGTTGTGCTTCCATTGTTACAAAACCAACAGCAGGGGACATTGTTTCAACATGACAATGCCAGGCCCCATACTGCACGACTGACTCCGAACTTTCTAAACCAGCAGAACGTTGACGTTTTGACCTGGGCAGTAAACCAGCAGAACGTTGACGTTTTGCCCTGGCCTGCCCCCTCACCCGATATGAATCCTATTGAACATCTGTGGGACCATCTTGACAGACAGATTAGAGCGCGCCATCAGCCTCCCGTCAACAGACAAGAATTGCAGCAGGCCCTGAGAGACGAGTGGCAACGGATTCCAGTCCACGTCATCAGAAGACTGACGTCATCGATGAGGCGGCGTATTACAGCATGCATTGAGGCGGCTGGACGTCATACACGCTATTGAAGGCAACTGTGTCGACAATGAACTTTTAGTGTGTCTGCCAATTTTTGGGTGACATTTCAGACAACTTTTGAAAATGAAATTTCTTACCCCACAATTGTTTACCTTGAGCTTACATTACCTGTGATTGCACAATTTCATTCAAACTGTATAGTTGATCAATCATTTGTAACCCTCCCTAGATTATATACTACACACAAAAAAAATGGGAACACCCCTAAATTTCATAGCCATGTATAAAACTTAACGTGGCTTGATCATTTATGAACTTCAGTAAATGCAACTTTTTGTGTGCACTGAGGGCACTTTAAATGACGTGTTGAGTCATGCATTTTTGCAAGTGCTTAATTTTTTAAAGAATTTGGTCAAATTGATTAAATGTTAAAACAGGAAAAAGCTTGGGTGCAGAAGGACTCCCTCGCCATGTCAGATTCAAACGCCAAAACACAACAACCTAGTGCACGTGAAAGTCAGAATTCCCATGCAGTTGGTGGCAACTTTTCTTTATTAAGAAGCTTCAGACACTGTGAAGTTACACATTTCCTTAAACATGCCCCAGCGAAGACCGTTAAGCATTCACGACAGGAGTAGGGCCATAGCGTGACTACAAGATGATGCATCCATAAGGAATGTTGCCTGTCATCTTCAAGTGTCACTGTCTGTCATTCACAGACTGAGGGAACGGTTCCAGACAACAGGGAGAGTGCAGGACAGACCGCGTTCTGGTAGACCCAGAGTAACATCTAGGGCAGATGACCGATACGTTGTGCTGCAAGCCTACGGAACCGGTTCACAACAGCCAGTGCTTTGAGACTGCAACTCCGACAAGCAACACACACCAACGTAAGCGTATCGACCATCAGGAACCGCCTCAGAGCTGCTCATTTAAGGTCACGTCGTCCAGCTGTACCTCCTCATCTTCGTCCTCATCACCGAGCTGCAAGACTTGCCTGGGCCAGGGCACATTTGAGATGGGATAATCAACAATGGTCCAGAGTTCTCTTCACATGACGAGTCCCGTTTCTGTCTTGAGCATAATGATGGAAGGGTAATGGTTATGAGACGTCCTGGCGAACGTTATGAGGATGCCACTGTACGAGAAAGAAACAGTTTTGCGGTGGCTCTGTGATGGTATGGGGAGGCTTCAGTTTGCATCACCGAACACCTCTCTATCTTGTTCAAAACAATTTGAATGGAGTGAGGTATCGTGACGAGATTTTGCGCCCTCTTGTCCTACCACAGTTGAACAACATTGGTCCAGGAGCAATCCTGCAAAATGACAATGCCAGACCACATAGGGCTAGAGTCGTTAGAGACTTCATGCAACAGAACAATGTGACTGTGATGCAGTGGCCAGCATAGTCACCGGATTTGGCTCCAATTGAGCATCTTTGGGATGTTCTGGGACGACGTGTCAGGGACAATCTTTGAGTTGCACCAGCTTTTCAGGCCCTGGTTCAGTGGCTCCAAATGGAATGGCAGGCGATTCCACAGGCTACCCTTCGCACCCTTGCAAGATCCATGAGGCGAAGATGCACCGAATGCATCAATCAACGTGGAGGACACACTCGCTATTGACATTGTGATTTCCATTTTTTACCCCCAATTTCTTATTCGAATTGTTCGTGTGTGCTTTTCAATGACAGTTACCTGTAAATGTTTTTGTTTTGAAGCTTGATAATCTGCTAATGCACAATTGTAATGATACGAACACATGTCATTAAATGTTCCTTTTTTATAACAGTATATTTCGGTGTTCCAATAATTTTTGTGTGTAGTATATTAGAATTCACAACAAAACCTCTTCTTGTTAATTTTTCTATCGATCCTCGAACTCGACCTATACTTTCTTTTGCCGCCTAGTTTACGATGTTGGTGTTATGGGTTGGGTTTCAAATGACACATTAACGGATCTGAAATATGTCTGTTTCCAGGCGAGTATGCCCGGTACGCGTGTCTTGGGGGAAAGGACTGTGGGCCTCCCTGTTACATCCACAGCCCCAGCTGCAGGAACCGCCCCGACGGCCTTAACCCCTACGCAAATCGACCAATGTCTGGCCACTACGTTGTATGCGTTAATCAGCGACTGGTCTACACTGACGTGTGCAACGGTACCATCTTTGACGCAAAACTGCGTGCCTGCAAATGTTCCTAAAACAAATATGTAATTTTAACAACAATGGGCAAAGGAAATTAAAGAGTTTGTCAACAATGCATGTATTTGTCCGTTTTCCCCCGGGGGTAAACTTTCCCTACCAGGCAAATGTAAACCCCAAATGTAAATGCGTTTGCAAGAATAAACCTACCCCGTCCGTGGCAACTGACCCGTGCCATGAGGTGGAGCACTATCGGTTACCCCAAGGGTAAGTATACCCTGTGGCAAAATATTTCGTGAAAACACAGTACAGTATTACAGTATCTGACCTGAGGCAACTGAACAGTATCATCAATGCATTATTCTCTTTCACCAGTAATTACCAATGGCATTATGACAGTAAGTCACTGGGCTATTTTCCTTACACGTAATTGGTCTGGGTTAATTCAACTACATCATCAGTAGCATCTTCCACGGGTGTACTGAAAGGTGAGCCTCACGAACGCCCGAATGGCTGATCTAAAGGGAATTTTGTCCTTCGATGTTTTGAACTTAGAAATATGTTGGAGTGGATGTCGGGGTATTAGTGAGCCCTGCTCACTTTTGGCCTTGTTGGTATATGTTCTCTGATACTGCCACAGTGGGACACAGCCACATTTTTCTTAAAATATTCCGTGTTTTATATATTTGTATCTTATCCTGTAATTTAGGTTCATGTCCACTATAACCTGTTACATGGCTGCTCCTCCTTGTCAATCATTCAATTGTCACCAAACCCATACTTCATAATAGCTTCATGTTTGGAACCAATTTATTCACACAATGGAGATCTTTGTTAATTCTTGCGACATTGACCCGTGAAGATCCGGGGTAGATTAGGTCTTCAGCAACCTATACCTGCCGTAAAAGGCGACTGTGCTTGTCGTATAAGGCGACTAACGGGATCAGGTGGTCAGGCTCGCTGACTTGGTTGATGCATGTCATCGATCCCAATTGTGTCGATCGATGCTCGTGATATCAATCACTGGATTGTCTAGTCCAGACTCGATTATTTACAGACCACCGTCATATAGCTGGAATATTGTTGAGTGCGGCATAAAACAACAAATAAACAAACAAATCAAAGAAGGGTCACCGGACAGAACTATCCGAACATACATAACTCTTTGTTATCCCGTGTGCAAGGCGTGTGGGTCGGCTTTTTGTCTATCAATATGACAACGCCCGTGCTCTCCGTGCACGAATCGTTGATACCCATCTCCAGCATCACAACATCCATAGAATACCATGGGACATGATAGGCAGACGTCCGCGTCAACGTCACAGGCCGCCGACCACGTTGGCTGAACTTGACCAGCTGCTGCAAGAGGAGTGGGGCGGACTCTCAAATCTCCACTGGGAGGCTCATACGCAGATCGAGTGAATAAATGTTAGACAAAACTTGGCGGTATTACGCACTACTGGTCCAAAAAACGTGAAATTCGAAATTTCAAATCTTCAAGATCGTAGAGCGGTCATAACATCTGTCGTCATATTTCTCAACCGGATGTAATGTGTTCCCAATTCGTTCATTATTATCATATAACTACAACTAGAAATTTTAGAAATTTTAAGTTATTACCAAATATCCCCTACTTTTTTAAAGTGACTGTAAGAATGTCACACAGCTGTCTCAAATCTCAACCAATGTCATATCGATTGCTTTCGAATCAAATACGCCGTTAAACAACAAACACAAGCTCCTGCTCATTATAATGAGATATTCGTGCTCGTTAACGCTAAACAAAGATCTGAGGACATCCATTACATGTCACGCCAGCACGGCCTTTCATCCAACCAATCAGAGCGCCGCTTAGAGATGGCGAAAATGAAAGTCCGAATGTGTTTCTCTTCCTGCAACCTCGAAAAGGTTAACACGAGGCATTCAGAACAGTTAACAGCTGTAGGACTGAATCCGTCAAAATCATCGAATATCTCTCGCTGCAATGGGATAAACATGTGAATTTTGAAAGAGGCTTTCCATGGCCGTGGGAATAAAAGCGAGACACTCTTTACAAGTTCATAAAAAATCTCTACCAAAAGCAGAGTCGATTGTAAGATTCAGACCAAATCATAAGCATGATTGTGTTTATGAATCACTATTAACAGTGGTGATACCAGGTGCTCGCAAAAAGATGAGCCTATCCTGACCCACCGGTTGCACCCGTCACAAACACATGCAAAGGCAAGACAATGGTTCACCTGAATAAACACGGGAACATATGGTACAAGTCAAAATAGGGAATTGCATCATTCTTATCACTGATGCGTCAGAATTGGAAAAACCCTTCACATGTCTACCATACATTTTTTGAAAGTTTTACTGAGGTCATGAATGATGTAACCTTGATCAAACAGATTCTGAGCAGTGAGTGAGTGAATATGGTTTTACGCCGCTTTTAGCAATATTCCAACAATATCACGGCGGGGGACACCAGAAATGGGCTTCACACAATGTACCCATGTCGGGAATCGAACCCGGGTCTTTGGCGTGACGAGCGAACGCTTTAACCACTAGGCTACCCGACCGCCCCGATTCTGAGCAGGAGCCGCATGGCGCTTTTTGAGATCTTGGTAGAGAGTGCTTGCTCGATTGTACGTCAAAAGTCGTAAAAGGTGACTATGCTTGTCGTAAAAGGCGACTAACGGGATCGGGTGGTCAGGCTCGCTGATTTGGTTGATGCATGTCATCGATCCCAATTGCGTGGAGCGATGCTCATGATATTAATCCCAGGATTGTCTGGTCCAGACTCGATTATTTACAGACCGCTGTCATATAGCTGGAATATTGCTGAGTGCGGCGTTAAACATAAAACCAACCAACAAACCAACCAACCAACCAACGGCAAAAGTTGTGAAATGTAGACACTAAGGGCTGGAGCTATGGGAATATTGTTCCATATAAAGGGAAAGTTGAGTATTGGAAAGTTGAAGATATACAGTCTTGAAGAGAGCGTTTTGTCACTCTGAATCTTTATACATAGATCTAAATCTGAAACAGATGAAGCTGATATGCAATCTCGGCGTAAAGCTCGAGAAAGCTGCTTTCTGATTGGTTAATGTCTACTTCCTGTCGGTCTTTTCACTGGTCGATCAAAGATTTTGCTATAACCTGAAATGAGATGCTCTGAGGTCTTTGGTGTAGCTGTACCGAGCAATAAGATCTGATGTTAATGAAATTACAAGCATCTGTATTGTTGTTTTTGTTTGTTTTGTTTTTTTGTTGTTTACTGCCGCACAAAGTAATATTCCAGCTATATGACGGCGGTCTGTAAATAATCGTGTCTGGATCAGACAATCCAGTGATTGACATGTTTGTTTGTTTGTTTATTATTTAACGCCGCAATCAGCAATATTCCAGCTACATGACAGCCGTCTGTAAATAATCGAGTCTGGACCAGGCAATCCAGTGATTGACATCACGAGCATCCACGCAATTGGGATACGATGACCTGCATCAACCAAGTCAGCGAGCCTGACCACCCGATCCCGTTAGTCGCATCTTACGACAAGCACAGTCGCCGTTTACGGCAAGCATGGGTTGCTGGAGACCTATTCTAGCCCGGATCATCAAGACCTCATTCAACCTGATAAGCTCAATTCAGATTTACATGTGATCGTAAAACTCCACAGCAATATCTGTATTTCTATGGCGTTTTATCCCTTATCACTAAAACAGTGTATGTTATTCAAACGCATATCCAGATGTTGTTTACGCGACATCCTTCTTTTTTTTAACGACTGATATTAACCAGTTGTTATTTGAAACCGTAACTTTAATGGTAAATCAATCGCGCAACAGCAGTCTGGCACACACCTTGATAACGACTGTCAATTATAGAAACTGTGAACGATATATTCACGGAGCGTGGAACTTCACATTAACACGAAGGTGACAGGTCCTGTTCAACTTTTTCAACTAAACACTGTACTGTATTTCATCATCTACCACAAGCACCTGTGTAACAGCGATATCGTTGTGAAGGTTAGTTTCATTCAGTTTAATCTCGGGATGTAAACTGAAGGACAAAAGGAAGAATTCAGATTTTGTTTTTTATGTAAATGATAATTGAAAGAACTGTTGTTAAATATGATTATTGTGTATTTAACTCATTCCGGCAACAATTTCTGAAAAGTAATCTGTGGGAGGTAATTTTGTGTAAAAATAAATTGGTTCAATGAAAACTGGAGTAGGAAATGAATTTGCATGCATATAAAACCTCTACCATGTTTGAAACTTGAAGATAAGATTAAAGATAAATTAAAGATCAGATGTCTAAGTTACCAATCAGCAGTTGTGCATGTTGCGAAATTTTTTTTATTATTTGTAAAAGTTCAAATCAAGTTATGTTTTTTAAAAAATGAAAACATGAGTGAGTGAGTGAGTGAGTATGTTTTACGCCGCTTTTAGCAATATTCCAGCAATATCAGGGCGTAGAATAATATCAGAATGGGCTTCACACATTGTCGGGATTCGAACCCGGGTGACGAGCAAACGCTTTAACCACTACCCGACCCGACCTCCCCTGAAAACATGAAGAAGTGTTATTTGAGCGCTAAGCGCCAGCACAGTTTGGATATGATCTCGCTAACGTAAGGTAAGACATTTTTCACATCAAGAAAGAAACGTGTATTTGTACATAAATTCTGTCTACAACAACTTTTCAAATCGATGCAATTCGCTAAGCAGAGAAAACTATGATCGCCGGTTCGAATCCCAGCACCATTACGCATGCATCACTTATTCCTCCCACATCAAGCTGACACGCTGTAGAATACATGAAATAGAAGCACACGTTAACCTACGCAATGTCAAAGTGCATACTGGCATCTGAAGGTGTTGACAAACGTCATGTAATACCCATCCCAGCTGCTGAAGCAGTTTGTCCATGCACTGTGAAAACGGCTATCAGCTATTGAATCGATTGGCAACCCTGAACATTGTACACAGCTGACACACGACCCGGGAGTAAAGGCGAGGGTAGCAGGATAATTTTCACCATGCATTAGACCCATGCAGATCCGGGTTAGAATTGGTCTTCAGCAACCAATGCTTGTCATAAGAGGCGACTAACGGGATCGGGTGGTCAGGCTCTCTGACGGGGTTAATGCATGTCATCATGTCCCAATGCTCATGATGTCACTCACTCGTACAGATTCTAATATTTACAGACCGCCGTCATATTGCTGGAATTTGTCTGTGTGGCACTAAGCAACAAACAGACCAACAAACCTACAAACAAACAAACACTGCATTACATAAACGAAGTATTTGTAGCACTACCGCTGCATCGTTGTTATGGTAACCGCTAATTCATTTATTCTCCAGTATTTTAATTGTTGATGACAAAGAGGTAAGAAAACATAATCTGTTTGGAGTCTTAATAACATAAAATTCTCAAAATTAAAAGGAGTTGCTCACGATATGGCTGAAATATTGCCGATGTGACGTTAAGTTTTAACTCACTCACTGAAGAAGATGCATGTATTTGTATGTCATAGGCGATAGTTACAGAGAGTAACCAACAAGCACCGAACACATAACATTAACCATTAAATGGCTAAATGTGTAAGGAATTAAAACTTAGCTCTTCTTCAAACAGACGGATTCATAGTATTATTTGTGTTGCGTCACCTTGACGTGTGGAGACGGATGTTTGTGGGGATCTGTTTTGTTTAATTTAGTTTTTTGCCATTTTCGGGTTTTCATTTTGTTCAACTCAGATATCGTCTCAAAGGTCAATGAAATTAAGTTCACTGAGAAGTGGAAAAACTCAAACCTAAATTAGTATAGAAGAATATGTGTCACTCTTCTGTTTATTCTTTAGAGCACCTTGATGTCCCGATGCTCGGAAATAACTGTGCAATTACAAAATTGTAAGAGATATTTGTTTTTTCTAATAGTTGTATGATAATAATGAAGGACGATAGGGGTAAGATGCGAAATTTCAAAGTTGACGTTTTTGGATAGGTTGTGTGTAAAACCGCCTTGATTTGTCAAACAATCATTCACTCACCTGGGGTGTGTGGGGTGTGTGTGTGGGGGGGTGGGGGGTGGGGTGGGGTGGGGTGGGGTGGGGGGGTTGTCTGATGTCTGTCCCACTCCTCTTGTTGCAGCGCCTAGCCAAGTTCAGCCAATGTGGTTGTGACCTATGCTGTTGACACACATCTCCCAGACTTATATGGATGTTGTGCTACTGGTGGTGAGTATTGACGATTCCTGCTCGATGAGCAAGGGCGTTGTCTCCTGAAAGACAAACCGTCGACCCACAAGCCTTGCAAGCGGGACAACAAAGGGTGTCAGTATGTTGTCCCGATAGTACTGTCCAGTGACCCTTCCTTGCACAATATGGGGTGGGGTCGGGGCAATCAAAGTGATGCCACCCAACACGACAACCGACCCACTGTCATGGGATCACAGGCTGATATTGGCTCAACGTTTTTTTCGCAGTTTGAGCTCGATTTCGTAGAGCCTGGTTTCGGATCAGTCGATGGACTTGGACGCCCTGAGCGGGGTCGATCATTAACATTGGTGTCTAGCCGGGAGAGCCACATTTCAGAAATGGCTATTGCCGGTAGAGCCACATTTTCAGCCGAGTGCATTTCACCTATTCTAGCGGGTAATTAATTAATCCGATTACCGATACCTTTATATGAGTGTCCCACATTTAAATTACTAAGCGTGACAACCAGTTGGGTTCAAGGAGGGGGCCTTCATGCCAGAGATTTGGAACCATTTCGAAAACCAAGGCCACCGTACCAATAATCACCTGGAAGGGTGGCACTACAAGATAAAGAAACTTGCCAAGAAGTGCCACCCGAACATCTACGAGGTAGTGAAGCTATTTCAGCGAGAGCAGTCACTCAAAGAGGTTGCAGTCCTGAGACTCTCTCACCAATGGTCAGAACCTTCACGAAGAAAGAGTTATGATTTCGTATGCTATTCATATTCATCAATGTAAAGTTTTGATGAATATGTTATTCTTGTTGAATAAAAAATAAGAAAACAAGACTTGTTTTGTTATATACGGTAACCTGTTAGAATCACAAAGCATGTTTTGACAGCATAGCCGCGAGAGCCACATTATACAATCACGCAACCATAACCATTGCCACGAGAGCCACATCAATTTGGGCTATCTATTTTCGAAATGTGGCTTTGCCGGCCTGTAACCTTAACATTTTGGGTTTGTGGCACCTGTGCCATTGTTTGCGAATCAATGACTATGAAACATTGGACACATTGGCCACTGCACACTGACATCTGTCAGTTCAAGCATGCCAATAGCTTGGTGAAGCTCCGCGCGTTGTAGAGGCTGCGTCACTAGTTCATACACAAACATAAAATCGGGTAACTCACAACTGTGATGAGAAGAATCAATAAGATTGACATAAATAATGGCGCACAGAGATTAATCGACCTTCCTTGAAAATGTTAAAATCTGGACTGACACCTACGCACGTGTGAGGCTCTACTGTGTGCGGCAGGTGCAGACTATATGATGTGTTTCGCTGTTAAACGCCCATACATAGAATGTTTATCGTCAACACTAATCTGTGTTCTAATACTTGGTATTAACATTTTTGTTTCATGATCGCGTACGTTTTCTAAAGAGTAAATATCCGCTGATGCAGTGTCCAGGCGTCGAGTTTACATCGGGCAGGGCCCGGTACACCCCTAATTACTCACGTACCGGTGCATTCATTTTCAGGTGAGTATAAGGGGGAGCTGTCAGGGCCCAGCTGTTGGGCCTCCTGTGACGGCGTTAACGCTGACGTAGGTCGTCCAGGCGCCCCCACCTACATCGTGTGCAGCGGCCAGGGCTTGTCATCTACAGCCCCAAAGCCGACCACGTTGTTACTTGTTATTACATATGGTTATATACTCGACTCGGGACAATTTGCATTTACTTATGACACTCAGCGGAGAGGTAGCCTAGTGGTTAAATAACAGTGAGTTGGGTATAACGCCGCCATTAACAGTATTCCAATTATATCATGGCGTGTCAGCTAAATGTGGGAGGAAAGCCCAAAGTGATGCAGGTCTCAGACAATTGCCACTTATGGTGAAAGCCACGAGCACGGATATGGTGCTGACAAACCTAGAAACATAATCGGGGCGAACCGGGATTCGAACCTACAATCATAGATTTCTGGCGTGCCCAAGGGACGCAACTCTGTACAGCGGCGCGTCACCCCAAAGAAAGGTTAAAATAAAGCATGGTGTTATGCTACTCATTTCTTACTTATCAATCTTAAATATAACTACGTCTCATGATAAAAACAACATGGAGGAACACACGTCATATCAGCTTCACGAAATATCAAAGTACATAGTGGTATTTGAAGGTGTGGACACATGTAAACTAATACCCGTCACCGCTGCCCAATCAATGTGTCCACACACTGTGAAACACCTCATCAGCAATCGAATCTGTTAGTAACTCTAAGCTGACACTTGATACAGGTGTGAAGAAGAGTGTCAGGTCCTGTTGTTATATGATGTAGAATTACTCCTCATAGATTTCTTGCGTGCCCAAGGGATGGAACTTTGTACAGCTAATTGCGGCGCCTTGGACGACTGGGCCACGTCACGCCGAAGAAAGGTTAAAATAAAGCATGGTTTTATGCTACTCATTTCTTACTTATTAATCTTAAATATAACTACGTCTCACGATAAAAACGACATGGAGGAACACCTCATATTAGCTTCACGAAATATCAAAGTACATAGTGGTATTCGAAGGTGTAACTTATACCCGTCACCGCTGCCCTATCGATGTGTCCACACACTCTGTGACTGAAACACCTTATCAGTTATCGAATCTGTCAGTAACACTAAGCTGACACTTGATACAGGTGTGAAGAAGAGCGTCAGATCCTGTTGTTATATGATGTAGAAGTAATCCTGCATTTCATTACCGCTGCATCGTTGGTTCGGTAAGTACTCATTCATTTATTCTCCAGTATCTGTATTGTTGATGACAAAGAGATCAGCATCAGCATCACCTTCTTCCTACCTATATATACCGCCTCCGTGGTCTAGTGGTAGAGCGTCCCCCCGGAGAGCAGAATGTTCGGGGTTCGATTCCCGGCCGCGTCATACCAAAAGACGTTAAAAGATGGTACTTGTTGTTACTTGTTGTTACCCTAAAGCAAGGTCTGGTCGGCTCGGAGTAAGTATACTGTGTCTGAGTGTGGTATTCATGTTAAACTGCGGCATGGTATCTCAGTGAGCTAGCACTATAAATCGGCATCAGTCCGGACCAGTAAAAGCAGCCACACAAACACACACACGTATATGCACGTCGCTATATAAGTGCAATAATCTTGGACGCGACGTTAAACCCCAATTCAATTTCTTTATTCAACGTACTGAGGAGGCCACAGGCCTATAGTACAATCATGATTACAGGAGCAATTGGTACAATCATATAATTTCCAAACTTGATTTTCTTTGTATAAAAGCATGATATATGTACATAGAAAGATTTCTTATGGTTTCAATGTTGCTTGTGGTCAGTAATAGTTTAAACTTAAATGTAAAATGGTTTACATGAAAATATTTTGGTAAATATACTTTTCTTAGTTCATCATAATGCTGGCATACTAGTAAAAAGCGATTCTCGTCCTCAATTAATCCCAGGTCACATAGTGGACAGAGTCTATTTTCTCTCGGAATATTTTGATATCTACCTTTTTCAATTAAAAGATTGTGTGATGAACATCGGAATCTTGCAAGTGCTACACTAAATTTTCTAAGACATACACTGAAAAGGGTATTGCTCTGCAATGATATATGACTTGAAACTGCTATATAACAGTTGGTGAACGTGTTAGAGTTGCATTCCATGACTGAAAATATAAATCTTTTAATCTTTGTGTTATAGCATTTATAAACAACCTTGGAGAAGCAATAATTTAAAAATGTAACCAAAACCACAATTATCCAGCAGGTTCCTTAAGTCGGTTAACCCCAATTCACCTCACCTCCCACCAATATATGAGAAACAAGGTCCCGTTCCACAAAGCGATCTTTGTGCTATGATTGTCGTAAGTCTATGTTGAAGTATGGGAGTTACGATCATCTTAGCGCTAAGATCGCTTTGTGGAACGGGGCCAAGATGCTCAGCATGTTGGACCGGTCCATTTACAGTTAATGTTTATTTCACTTTGTACATGGGCTTAAGTCCTCGTACGAGCTAAATTGATTAACTGATTGATTGATTGGTAGATGTCAGAAACATGTTATCTGTTTTCAGACTTAATGATATAGTGTTCCCGAACGTTTAAATGACCTGCGTGAATTTAAGCGATTGTTACCATAAAATAACATAACATTTGTGTGAAGCGTTGAAACTGAACTCTGCTCTACACAGACTTGTTCGTACTTTCAGTCAACAGTTGAACATCTATAGTCACTTGATGTCCCGGGTCACGATGCTTCGTGTTCTTGTACTGATGTTGATGGCCGTGGAAATATGTAAGTTGTTAATTACCACATCTCTCGTTGGGTGGTGGGTTTGGTGAAGGGGGGTGTGGGGGGTGTGGGGGTGGGTGGGTGGAGAGAGGGGTATGGTGTTGAGCTTTGATTGTTATTGTGAGAGGGTGGTGGGTGGAGAGAGGTGTGTGGTGGTGAGCTTTGATTGTTGTTGTGAGAAGGGGGTGAGCAGAGAGAGGTGTGCGGTGGTGAGGATTGATTGTTGTTGTGAGAAGGGGGTGGGTGGAGAGAGGTGTGAGGTGGTGAGCTTTGATTGTTGTTGTGAGAAGGGGGTGGGCGGAGAGAGGTGTGAGGTGGTGAGCTTTGATTGTTGTTGTGAGAAGGGGGTGGGCGGAGAGAGGTGTGAGGTGGTGAGCTTTGATTGTTGTTGTGAGAAGGGGGTGGGCGGAGAGAGGTGTGTGGCGGTGAGCTTTGATTGTTGTTGTGAGAAGGGGATGGTGGTAAGCATTGATTGTTGTTGGATGGGGGGGGGGGGGGGGGGGGGGGGGGGGCGGGGGGGGCTGGATAGAGACAGGGGTGCGGTGGTGAGCATTAATTGTTGTGAGAAGGGGGAGGATAGAGAGAGGTGCGCGGTGATGAGCATTGATTGTTGTTGGAAGGGGGAGGATAGAGAGAGGTGCGCGGTGGTGAGCTTTGATTGTTGTGAGAAGGGGGAGAATAGAGAGAGGTGCGCGGTGGTGAGCTTTGATTGTTGTGAGAAGGGGGAGAATAGAGAGAGGTGCGCGGTGGTGAGCATTGATTGTTGTGAGAAGGGGGAGGGTGGAGAGAGGTGCGCGGTGGTGAGCATTGATTGTTGTGAGAAGTGGGAGGATAGAGAGAGGTGCGCGGTGGTGAGCTTTGATTGTTGTGAGAAGGGGGAGGATAGAGAGAGGTGCGCGGTGGTGAGCTTTGATTGTTGTGAGAAGGGGGAGGATAGAGAGAGGTGCGCGGTGGTGAGCTTTGATTGTTGTGAGAAGGGGGAGGATAGAGAGAGGTGCGCGGTGGTGAGCATTGATTGTTGTGAGAAGGGGGAGGATAGAGAGAGGTGCGCGGTGGTGAGCTTTGATTGTTGTGAGAAGGGGGAGGGTGGAGAGAGGTGCGCGGTGGTGAGCTTTGATTGTTGTGAGAAGGGGGAGAATAGAGAGAGGTGCGCGGTGGTGAGCATTGATTGTTGTGAGAAGGGGGAGGATAGAGAGAGGTGCGCGGTGGTGAGCTTTGATTGTTGTGAGAAGGGGGAGGGTGGAGAGAGGTGCGCGATGGTGAGCTTTGATTGTTGTGAGAAGGGGGAGAATAGAGAGAGGTGCGCGGTGGTGAGCATTGATTGTTGTGAGAAGGGGGAGAATAGAGAGAGGTGCGCGGTGGTGAGCATTGATTGTTGTGAGAAGGGGGAGGATAGAGAGAGGTGTGTGTAGGTGAGCGTTGATTGTTGTTAGAAGGGGGAGGGTGGAGATGGATGTGTGTTGGTGAGCGTTGATTGCTGTTAGAAGGGGGAGAGTGGAGAGGGTTGTTTGGTGGTGAGCGTTGATTGTTGTTAGAAGGGGGAGAGTGGAGAGACGCGTGTGCATGTGGTGGTGAGCATTGATCGTGGTTTGAGAGAGGGGTGTAGTGGTGAGCGTTGATTGTTGTTGTGAGAATGGGGTGGGTGGAGAGAGGTGTGTAGTGGTGAGCGTTGATTGTTGTAAGAAGGGGGAGGATTGAGAGAGGTGTGTAGTGGTGAGCGTTGATTGTTTTGAGAAGGGTGGAGGGTGGAGAGGGGTGTGCGGTGGTGAGCGTTGATTGTTGTAAGAAGGGGGAGGGTGGAGAGGGGTTGGCGGTGGTGAGTGTTGATTGTTGTAAGAATGGGGAGAGTGGAGAGGGTTGTTTGGTGGTGAGCGTTGATTGTTGTAAGAATGGGGGTGGGTGGAGAGGGGTTTGCGGTGGTGAGCGTTGATTGTTGTTAGAAAGGGGAGGGTGGAGAGGGTTGTGCGGTGGTGAGCGTTGATTGTTGTTAGGAGGGCTAGGTTGGAGAGAGAATGGTGCTGGTGAGCGTTGATTGTTGTTAGAAGGGGGGAGGGTGGAGAGGGGTGTGCGGTGGTGAGCGTTGATTGTTGTAAGAAGGGGGAGGGTGGAGAGGGTTGTTTGGTGGTGAGCGTTGATTGTTGTAAAAAGGGGGAGGGTGGAGAGAGGTGTGTGTTGGTGAGCGTTGATTTTTGTTAGAAGGGGGGAGGGTGGAGAGGGTTGTGCGTTGGTGAGCGTTGATTGTTGTAAGAAGGGGGAGGGTGGTGAGAGGTGTGTGTTGGTGAGCGTTGATTGTTGTTAGAAGGGTGGAGGGGTTGTGTGGTGGTGAGCGTTGATGGTTGTTAGAAGGGGGGAGGGTGGAGAGGGTTGTGCGGTGGTGAGCGTTGATTGTTGTTAGAAGGGGGAGGGTGGAGAGAGGTGTGTGTTGGTGAGCGTTGATTGTTGTTAGAAGGGTGGAGTGTGGAGAGAGGTGTGTTGGTGAGCGTTGATTGTTGTAAGAAGGGGGAGGTTGGAGAGAGGTGTGTGTTGGTGAACGTTGATTGTTGTTAGAAGGGGGGAGGGCGGAGAGGGTTGTGCGGTGGTGAGCGTTGATTGTTGTAAGAAGGGGGAGGGTGGAGAGACGCGTTTGGTGGTGATCGCTGTTCGTTATTAAAAGGCTGGAGGGTGGTGAGAGGTGTGTGTTGGTGAGCGTTGATTGTTGTTAGAAGGGGGAGGGTGGTGAGAGGTGTGTGTTGGTGAGCGTTGATTGTTGTTAGAAGGGGGAGGGTTGGGGATGGAGGGGTTGTGTGGTGGTGAGCGTTGATCGTTGTTAGAAGGGTGGGGGGTGGAGAGGGTTGTGTGGTGGTGAGCGTTGATTGTTGTAAAAAGGGGAGGGTGGAGAGACGCATGTGTTGGTGAGCGTTGATCGTTGTTGGAAGGGTGGAGAGAGGATGGTGCTCGTGAGTGTTGATTGTTGTTAGAAGGGGAAAGGATGGAGAGGAGTGTGCGGTGGTGAGCCTCCGTTGTTGTAAGAAGGGGGGTGGTGGAGAAGGTTGTGCGGTGGTAAGCGTTGATGGTTGTGAGAAGGGGGTGGGGGGTGGAGAGAGGGTGGTGGTGGTGAGCGTTGATTGTTGTTGGAAAGGGGAGGGTGGAGAGAGGGGGTCAGTGGTGAGCATTGACTGTTGTGAGAATGGGGAGGGTGGAGAGAGGTTGATGCCGGTGAACCTTGATTGTTCTAAGAAGGGGGAGGGTAGAGAGGAGCGTGCGGTGGTGAGCGTTGATTGTTGTAAGAAGGGGGAGGGTGGAGAGAGAGGGGTGTGATGGTGTGCGTTGGGTTGTTGTTGAGAAAGGGGAGTGTAGAGAGAGATTCGTTGGTGATCGTTGATTTTTGTTGAGAAGATTAAGGGTGGATGGAGGGAATCGGAGGGAGAGCCTTGATCGACGTTGAGAAGGGGTAGGGTGGGGACAGGGGTGTGGTGGTGAGCGTTGGTCGGCGGAGGTAAGAGGGTAGGTATAGGGAGAGGGATGCCGTGAGATGCGTTGGATCAATGTTGAGAAATGGTAGGGTGGAGAGAGGGGTTTAGAAGGAAGCGTTCACATGAATAAAGTGTGCATATGGAAACTTTCCGGCAACCTTCAGCAGTGTTTAAGTTTATTGTAATCTTCAAACCTTTTGTATGTGTTTCACACATAATTGAAAACAATGCACCCCCCAAAAGTTTGACATTTTTTTATGGTTCCGAAGGTAACCAGGCCGGATCCAAAGTGGGTTTTCGGAAAACGGAAACCTACTTTTTTTTGCTGTGGTTTACCGTTGCTGTAAGAAGGTGAAGGTTGGAGAGGGGGGTACGGTGGTGAGTTTTGATCGATGTTGAGAAGGGTTAGGGTGGAGAGGAATATTCATTCACCCACTAGCTTCTTTGTTCAAGGTGCTGCTACAAGCGACGTCTGCTCGACGACGTCGGCAACGCTGATTGCCCACCCGACTAAGTGTGCCCAGTACTACAACTGTAGCGCGCCCGGCCTGAAAATAAACCGCTACATCTTGGGGCCGCACTTACAGGAATGTCCCTTCCCGCAGTTGTACAACCCTGAAACACAGAGATGTGAGCACTACAGCATGGTCAAGTGTGGCAAGAGAACAGAGCCCCTGGGGATGTGTAAGTACCCAGGTGTGACGAGGTGTCGTGTTCACATGTTAGCACATGAGTATAACACAGTGCGATATGTATTTTAGCGGTATGCTTGGTGTAATGAGGCACGAGAGTTATGCCCCTTAGGTCATGGAAGCGCGGGTATAAAATTAAGCACGGTACAAGCTACTAGGTCTTCAATCGTTTATTATCCAGTGTGACACAGTCCATCGACTGCTTAAAACATTTCATATGGCTTCCCTCTTCTCGATAGAAACAAAGAGCATGGACATATATACCTTTAACATTAATAAACTACGGTAACTGGCCAATTTGCCGCAAATGTCTGAAAGCATTTATTTCACAGGAATGCAATAGAGCATCTGGGGAAATGTGAGTATTCCTTAAAAGCATGGTCTCAGTTTTTGTAACAATTAATTTGTTATTCACATACATTGGGATGTGAGCATAACGCTCTACAGATTCCCATTTTTATTAAAATAAATAAATATTGCCATAATCAATAAAAATAATATTTATCAAAGTACGCGCACTCAGATGGTCCTGTGCCTCTTCCACCCCCGGAGGCCATCGATAGTGGGGTAACCCTTCAGTTTGCAGTAATTGTTGTGTGTGATTGATTTATATAACAGTACTAGTTTTGATAAAGGTTTGGTTTGGTTTGGTTTGTTGTTAAACGCCGCACTCAGCAATATTCCAGCTATATGACTGCGGTCTGTAAATAATCGAGTCTGGACCAGACAATCCAGTGTTTGATATCATTAGCATCGATCCACGCAATTGGGATCGATGACCTGCATCAACCAAGTCAGCGAGCCTGACCAACCGATCCCGTTAGTCGCCTTTTACGACAAGCATAGCCGCCTTTTACGGCAAGCATGGGTTGCTGAAGACCTATTCTACCCCGGATCTTCACGGGTCTTTGATAAAGGATAATGCAAACACTTTTCGAAGAGATAGGCCAATCGTATTACAGTATTCGCTCTTTCAGACAATCACAGTGCATGGTAGTGCCACCTGTTTGTGTACAACAGTATCATGTCTGTTTGCAGGCGAGTATGCCAAGCATGCGTGTTTTGGGGGAAGGTACTGTGGGCCACCGTGTCACGTTTACAGCCCCACCTGCAGGAACCTCTCCGACGGCCTCAACGTCTACGAATATCGCCTCAACTCCCCCCACTATGTGGTGTGCGTTAATCAGCGACTGGTCTACACTGGTGTGTGCCACAATTACGGAACGGGGCCAAATATCTTTGACTCAAAATTGCGTGCCTGTAGGTGTTCGTAAAAAATCCGTTGTCACAATGAGCACTGACAATTAAAGAGTTTGTCAACAAAACGTGTTTGTGTATACTTGTGCTTGTGTTTCAGTGCTAAGAATGTCGTCAGCCAACGCCGTGTCTCAGCACAGCGAATTGTGCCACCTCTAACCACTGAACAACCAGCTACCCTTTTTCGTTATGAAAAGTATACTGAACCAAATTAAAAACTTCACAATCCTAAAATTTTAACATTTTGACTAGTTATCATTGTGGGCCCTTATTGTGTATTTAAACAGTAATGGCCACGCAATGTCTTCAGATAACACCCGTTTTTGTGCAGGTGAATCGATCAAAATCATGTGCACAGCACTATAGTGGCAAAAGTGTTTTTTCACGTGCAACTGGTCACGTGGCCATAATACCGCACGTGTTTTCAGCCATTCTTGTTAGCAGTCATTAAAAAAGAAGAAGAAAAACACAAGAAAACAAAAGTCTTTAAGGCCATTTGTCATGCCACACCTTTCAAATGTGCAACGTGAACGTGCCATCGGCATGTTGCAGACGGGAACGTCCGTAGCTGAAGTCGCAAGGACGATGGATTGTAGTCGACGGACTGTTTATGAGTTACAGACGCGTCTACAGCAAACGGGTACCACCGCTGATCGCCCTCATAACTACCACAAGCCGCGGCTCTGTATCAGTCATAGCCCTGTCAAGGTAAGTTCATATTTATTTTATATATCACGCTGAATACAAATAGAAAATGATTTTTATGTATTTTAATGGAAAAAAAAACATTGGGACGAATTCTATTTATTTATTTCCTACCAAGAATATTGGGCACATATTGAATTCGTCTCTATAATGCGAACGAAAAACGTCCTCAGAGTATACTTCATATGACGCGTGAAATTTGATTTGGTTTTGTGATTGAAGTGCAGGATTTGAAGTGACGTCTCGATGTCAGATAAAAAAACTTATTCATTTTAGCCGTATGAATTGTTTATTTTGTAGTGCGGAGTAATCTTATGATACCTTTATAAATCTAACTATAAGCGGAATATTAGTTACATAAAGCATGCTAGTGTAATTATATTTAATCTTTGATCTTCCAACACGACAATGCCAGACACCACACAGCAATTTTGACAAGGAATTTCCTTCAGAATGCGGGAGTCAACGTCATGGACTGGCCCTCAAGGTCTCCCGACCTCAATCCCATCGGACAAGTCTGGGATGCTCTTGGCAGAAGTCTGCGCACTAACCAGAACCAACCAAAGAGTTTGCAAGATCTTGGCACCATTTTGCAGCAGCAATGGCGTCGTCTTCCCAATCATGTGTTCACAAGCATCACAAGGTCCATACGGAGGTGTTGTGTGGCAGTTGTCAACGCACATGGTGGCCATACACGTGTGTGCCATCAGATTCTCGTGCTTGGGACTTATGATTTAAACTGTTGATGTTATTACCGAATACCGTAGGTGCTTGGAACAAATTATTATTTCCACCGTTAATTAAATCCTTCTTTGGACATTAATGATTAAAAATTACCTTCTCTGATACATGTGTCCGTTGTCTATCATAGATGGGATTACTTTTAAAAATGTGAAGTTTTTAATTTTACTCAGTATATTTGAAACATTAGTTATCTTCAATTAGTTGATACACTTACTGTATGTTCAAGTTGGAGGTTTCGAATTTGACAAACGTAAAAATCGTTCAAAGTCACAATAGTTTCTGCTTCAAGTCATAATTTTTCTCCTGAAGTATTAAGTCGAACAATGTCAATGTTGTAAAACGTGACTTTTAATGACTCGTTAGAAACGTATAGATATATTGTCCCATTGAAAAATGCAAGTTCAGCCTGTTTTCTTCGTGGCGGGGAATAAGAAATGTATTGCCCCACTCATAGATTTATTTCCCTCACTGGCGGGATACACAGTATTTTATCAAGATGACGTGAACTAATCAGTTCTCAAGATTCATTTATGACATTTACATCCCCGTATATATCAAGTCTGACAAATAACACTTCACAACACCTTAAGAATAGAAGAGTTCATGTGCACTAGTCATTCCATATTCTACCCACTCTGATAACGGTTATCAGTTAAAGGAACTGTCTGTACTACGTTTAAGAAGTGTGACGCGTATCTCATAACTACCACAAGCCGCGGCTCTGTATCAGTCATAGCCCTGTCAAGGTAAGTTCATATTTATTTTATATATCACGCTGAATACAAATAGAAAATGATTTTTATGTATTTTAATGGAAAAAAAACATTGGGACGAATTCTATTTATTTATTTCCTACCAAGAATATTGGGCACATATTGAATTCGTCTCTATAATGCGAACGAAAAACGTCCACAGAGTATACTTCATATGACGCGTGAAATTTGATTTGGTTTTGTGATTGATGTGCAGGATTTGAAGTGACGTCTCGATGTCAGATAAAAAAACTTATTCATTTTAGCCGTATGAATTGTTTATTTTGTAGTGCGGAGTAATCTTATGATACCTTTATAAATCTAACTATAAGCGGAATATTAGTTACATAAAGCATGCTAGTGTAATTATATTTAATAAATACTTTGTTACTCGCCGTGTTAACTTCAGTTAAAAGATGTATGCATGCTGTGCCAAGATGACCACTGTCTGTAGAGCTTATGGGCAGGACGGTAGACGGCTGTTTCTTCACTGACCCAAGGGCCCGTGAAGATCCGGGGTAGAATAGGTCTTCAGCAACCCATGCTCGCCCATGCAAGCGGCGTTAAACCAAACTCACTTACTCACTCACTCACTGAGCGAAGCCACCGATAAGGGGTTCAGCCGCTGTGAAGTGTGCCAACACTGTGGTTGTCAGAAACTTCATAGAGACGCGGCCCGTGAAGATCCGGGGTAGAATAGGTCTTCAGCAACCCATGCTTGCCGTGAAAGGCGACTATCCTTTGTCGTAAGAGGCGACTAACGGGATCGGTTGGTCAGGTTCGCTGACTTGGTTGATGCATGTCATCGATCCCAATTGTTCACAATGTCAATCACTTGACTGTCCTGTACATTCCAGACTCGATTATTTACAGACCGCCGTCATATAGCTGGAATATTGTTGAGTGCGGCGTTAAACAACAAACAAACAAACATCACTGACCCAATATAACCAAGTGTGGCCGAATATGAAGTATCTGACCCATAAGCTGGGACATTAGGACATGATGAATAGGACTTACTAACTTACTGCTGGAGAGTATGAGGGAAATACCACAGCGCTGCATCTTCCCGAGGCAAAGGAGTTAACTGACTATAAAAGTCAAGTTTCCACCCTTGCCGAACTAGGCTGGTATTATTGAGTTACGTTTTGTCTGGACTAACGAGTCTATGAATACGAAATCAAAATACGGTTCGTAAACTGTCGTGCAGATTTCGATCGATTGCAGGGTTTGCAAAGCATGTGCATCGCCAATTCGTTGTCAGCAGATATTTTCCAAATCCTTTCATGTTTTTAATCAAGGTGCTCACGTGATTTGATGCATTTCGCGATGTAAGACCCGTTTTATCACAACATAGATCTTGATTATCGATCAGATCGTCCTGACTGGGCGCCACCATTTTGTGTGAAGCAACGCAAGTGATACGAGAGGTGGAATCTGATTGGTCCATAGGAGAGGCTTAGAAGGGACATAATTGGTAATAGCCACTGGTGGCGCAACGATCGAGCCCAGTAATGCCAGCCTAGTTCGGCAAGGGTGGAAACTGGACTTTGAAAGTCATTTAACTCCCTTGCCTCGGGAAGATGCAGTGCTGTAGCTCACACATACATTGTAGTCAAACACAGTAACTGTTATATTTTTATATTTTTTTATTTTTAGCTCCATGATGTGTGAGTGTCAGGTGTTGTGCCTGCTGCTGGTGGTGATGACCGCCCTAGAATCATGTGAGCAGGCTTCTCTTGTTTATGCTGTATTTGTTGTGTTGTTGTTTTGTGCTATGTTTGTCGTGCTAGGTGATGTGTGTGTGTGTTGATGTTGTGCTGTGTTTGTTGTTCTGTTGCTATGTTTGATGTGCTGTGTGATGTGTGTGTTGTTGTGTTGTGCTATGTGATGTGTGTTGTTGTGTTGTGCTATGTGATGAGTGTGTAATTGTTGTGTATTGTACTATGTTTGTTGTGCTACGTGATGCGTGTGTGTTGTGCTGTTTGTTGTGCTGTGTGTGTGTGCTGTGTGTGTGTGTGTGTGTGTGTGTGTGTGTGTGTGTGTGTGTGTGTGTGTGTGTGTGTTTGGCGACTCGTAAAAAGGAGTTGAGTTGACTTCAGAGTCCTCACTCACAAACTAGTATTTAACCTGTCACTTCACGCTGATTCCAGCATCGGCATTGAATGCACCCACAAGCGACGTGAACCCCATTTGCATGACGACAACGGAGACACTGATCCCCCACCCAACTAAGTGTGCCCAGTACTACGACTGTAGCGCGCCGGCCGCAAAACCCTCCTGGGAGCAGAACCTACAGGAATGTACCAACCCGCAGTTGTACAACACTGAAACACAGAGGTGTGAGCACTACAGCATGGTCCAGTGCGGTAACAGAACAGAGCCCCTGGGGATATGTAAGTATTCTTGGCGTCCCCTCTTCTCGACAGAAACCAAGAGCATGGTCGTGAATGAATCAACTTTAGTTTATGCAACACGAAATATACGTTTGGATCTTACCAATTTTATTCCCAATTTTATTATTAAATTTTAACATATTTCCATAATTAATGATGATGATGATGATGACGATGACGATGATGATGATGATGATGTTCATGTTTATAATGCGCCACACCCTTAAGCATACTCAAAGGCTTCATTATTACCCCGGTCAATGGATCCGTGTGCACTCGATTTTCATTCTCAGCTCCCTGGGGTGTATACAACCCAATCTGCCTGGGAGGCGCTACAAGGTTAAAAGTAACATTACCATTTCGATAATCGGAATATTTATCACAGCATTCTGATGGGCTACGCCGTTTCGACTCATAGCGGTCATCGATAGTTACGGAAATACGCGAGCAATGACGAATGGTTCAGTTTGTAGTCATTGTTGTGTGCGATTGTTTCATTTAACATTATAAGGGTACATTAAAGGTAATACGAATCCTTTTTCGCGGAGATAGGCCAATCGTTTTGCAGTATTCGCTCTGTCAGCCAATCACAGTGTATAAATACCGTCACGTGTTTGTATACAACTGCCATTATGTCTGTTTGCAGGCGAGTATGAGTTCCCGTGTTTTGGGGGAAGGTACTGTGGGGCACCGTGTCACGTTTACAACCCCAGCTGCAGGAACCTCTCCGACGGCCTCAACGTCTACGAATATCGCCTCAACTCCCCCTACTACGTGGTGTGCGTTAATCAGCGACTGGTCTACACTGGCGAGTGCCACGATTTCGGAACGGGGCCACCAATCTTTGACGCAGAAATGCGTGCCTGCAGGTGTTCTTAAAAAGTCCTTTTATCACAATTGGCAACGAAAATAAAAGAGTTTGTCAACAGCACACGTGTTTGTCTAAAACTATACGAATGTTCCACGGCTAATATTGTCGCCAGCCAAGGGCGCATCGCAGCACCGTATGCAACCTAAAACCACTGGACAACTGGTGACCCTTTCTGATAATGAAAAGTATTTGAAACATTAGCGATCTTCAATTAGTATATACACTTACAGTATGTTGAATTTACAGGTGAGGTGAGGTGAGGTGAGGTGAGGTGAGGTGAAATGGGGTTTAACGTCGCGTCCAAGACCATTGCACTTATAAAGCGACGTGCATGCCCGTGTGTGTGTGTGTGTGTGTGTGTGTGGCTGCTTGTGCTAGTCCGGACTGATGCCGATTTATAGTGCTAGCCCACTGAGATACCATGTCGTAGTTAAACATGAATGCCCCACTCAGACACAGTATACTGACTCCGAGCCGACCAGTCCTTGTTTTAGCCCCTTAATGCCGAGCGCCAGACAGGGTAACAACAAGTACCATCTATTAACGTCTTTTGGTATGACGCGGCCGGGGATCGAACCCCGGACCTTCCGCTCTCCGGGGGGACGCTCTACCACTAGACCACGGAGGCGGTCTACAGGTTTCGAAATTTACAACAATACAATTCGTTCAAAGTCCACGTATGTTTCCTAATTCCATGACAACACGAAGTGGTGAGAATCTATGACAAGAAGAAAATATCCCCCCCCCCCCCCCCCCCCAAAGTACAAGAATCTGTGCTTTACTAAGAAATCATCCCAAATATACCATTTGTTAAATTTGACCACTTTCTAAATGGTATTGTGTATTCACAATATTCAATATTCTTTGGTCAAATTTAATTTTAATTTCGAGAAACTACGGATATCCTCTGCCGAAGGAGGGACTGGTTCAGCAACTGTACGATGCAATAAATTGTCTAATAAAAGTGGTACACGTCTGAGACCTGCATCACTTGGGGCTTTCCTCCCACATTAACCTGACCCGCCGTGATATGACTGGAATACTGTTAAAAGCTGCGTTAAAACCAGCTCACTCAGGTCTATGAAGGAAATTTATGGTAATTATGAGTAATTGTTTTTTTGTCAGACTCTTTCCACTAGTCATCATGGAATTATGAAAAATAGTTTGAATATCATGAGATATACGCACATTTACAATTTATGTTAACTTATTACTATCACCTCTTTTATGAGGTGCCAGCATTGTTACATTTGGTATAAAAGTATCTGGTTCGAATAATTCTGCTCATTCTTTGAACGCGTACATAGTCAAGCACTGTGTGTATGTGTGTGCGTGTGCGAGTGCGAGTGCGTGCCTGCGTGTGTGCAGGCACGAGTGTGTGAAGGAATAATCGCAGTTATCGAAAAAAAGTATCGAATATATTCCAATATGATAGAACAGACTGCCATACAATGTCGCGTGAACTACCACCCATTTGTGCTCAAGATTTAACGAAACCTAACCATCACACAACAGACAACAGATGATGCCAACATGTATTTTAGTATGTAGCTTCATACTGCTGGCGGAATAATCAGGATACATGATTCCAAAATGTCAGGAGCTAGAATTACCGATCAGTGTTTGCAATTTCGTGTAAAATGCCGGACAAAGGAAACTACGCGTATACACCCATGTTTGATGGTGGCTGCAAATGAAACAAGCAAAAAATGGTCATTCGATGGTGATGTATTTGATACGGGTATCATAGTTGTGTTTTGGACCTGAAGACTGCAGCAGTCTAGTTCTGTTTCGATAACGTAAAGTTTTTAACAGATTACTAGTACCTACCTACCTACCTCCCTACCTCCATACCTACCTACCTACCTACCTACCTACCTATCTAATACTATCATAATACATCTTAAAATATGGTATGGTTAATATTGACACTTTTTTCTTGCTTTTGTAAGGGCGACAATGCGATCACACGATAATGTCCCTTCTACGATTCCATAGTACTGGCGTAAAAACAGTCGTTACTCAAAGAGCACTTGTGTTTTTTTAGTTATATCAAGGCGTGTCTGTTTCATGTAGATGGACCACCTTAATTCTGCTTTGTAAAGCGGGCCTCCGTTCCCCAATACAATCTGTGCGCTAATCGGGCCGAACCGGGTCTCGAACCCACAATCTGCATGCCAAGGGCAAGGTTTCTGGCATGCTAAGGGGAAGCAACTCTGCACAGCAAGTTGCGGCTCCTTAAACAACTGCGTCACCTGTGATCCTTTTGAACAGAGACTTCCGATACTTATAGCAGTGAGATCGCTATGTGAGGCGTTGCCATGCTGGAACATGGCGAATAAACAGGGCTCAGCGTCCAGTGGTTCCGTTACACCAGGGCGCGTCATTCTATTGGGGCCGTAGTTTTTTCTGCTATGGTGAAACCCACCAGAACTGGATGGTGCTGACAGGATCATTAGTGGGTGGAAACAGGAATTCGAACCAACGTCCGACACATCTCATGCGAGTAACGGCGCCTTCCACAACTGCAGGCATTGAACCCCAATCAGGTCGAACCTCCTCCTTTCGCAAGGAGTGAATGAGTGCATATGATTTTAGAATATCCAAGAAATATCACGGCGATAGGAATGGGCTTCACATATTGTACCCATGTGGGGAATCGAACCCGGGCCTTCGGCGTGACGCTTTAACCACTAGGCTACCCCGCCGCCACCCTTTCGCAAGGACAGGAGATGAAGACAAGGCATTATACTTTTGGGGTCGACAGTATATTCATCTGAAACTCGTTTATACTTAGGTTCCGAACTATCTCTTGTTAAATGATAATTTACCCCCTCGAAGTCAACGGTTTCCTAGTTCAGGGGCACATAACAAGGAGAGGTGAAATGGGGTTTAACGTCGCGTCCAAGATTATTGCACTTATATAGCGACATTCATGCACGTGTGTGTGTGGCTTCTTGTACTTGTCAGGACTGATGCCGATTTATAGTGCTAGTCCACTGAGACACCATGCCGCAGTTTAACATGAATTCCCCACTCAGACACAGTATACTGACTCCGAGCCGACCAGTCCTTGTTGTAGCCCCTTAATGCCGAGCGCCAGACAGGGTAACAACAAGTACTATGTTTAACGTCTTTTGGTATGACGCGACCGGGGATCGAACCCCGGACCTCCCGCTCTCCGGGCGGACGCTCTACCACTAGACAACGGAGGCGGATCACATAACTAGAGTAACTAGAGTAGAATTAACCTGATTCCGTTGCGCCGACAGACCCGTCAAACAACCATCTCCCTGCACTTTTACTCTCGACTAGACCTAAACAGCGTCTGTCTGTCACCTTGACCTCAGTTTCCGGTTAAACAACAACGAGGCTTGACGTGCTGGGTTATGGCGGATTAAGGAAGCTGACACACAATAAACTAACTCAAATAAGCTGGTGCCAATACCATAGACAACGCGACCAACACGCTCATCCGATATACGAGAATTACAGGGCATAAACAGTGTAATTTCATGGCTCTTCTCACAGATGCATACGCAGGTGATAATGAGTTAAGTAGGGAATGTGATTCCTCGTATGTAAAGCAGTTTAAATAGAAAAGTTTTTTATGGTTTGTTTTATGTTCTGATAAGACATATGTGTCATTTAACAGTCATGCAATTTTAGTTAGAAGTAGCAGTTTGGGTTTAACGGTACATTGCGATTATGATTGTTGAACTGTTTGTGAGAGGTGGGCTCAATTTTCTGATATTTACCAGGACGTGTGGATTTCACTCGGCGACGAGAGTGATGGACGGGGAACGTCGCGGGCTGCACGTGACTTCTGACATCAAACTTGTCAATTTCATGTTTGAGATACCGACGTATAACTCTAAACACTGCAGGAAATCAGTGAAGACACCTAACGTTACATCAAGTAATAATTGTTGGCATGCGCCAGTAAAATCTCCTTAATGGACACATTGTTCACAAGTCGTTAATCCGATAATTCTTTTTGAAATGAACACATGACAAGAAACACAGATGCCAGTGGTCAGAATTATAGATTTGTTTTTTTTATAGCTCGATGTTTTTTTTGTAACCACAGCTAATTTAGACACACTGTAATACACTCGAACATACTAGTATTCTGACAGAAGGTTGAATATATGACATGTGTTGGTCTGCTGTGTGAAACTATATAGGGAACATTGTCAACTTTGCTATCGCCTAATTTATTGACTCTATACATATAATAAAAGTGATGCAGTGCATAGCTAGACTGAACCCAGTTTATACGAGTGAATGATTTGCGGGTTAAAGCTGTGAAGAAGAAGACCCGGTGTGAACACAAAGATGTCATAACGAGATGTGAAGTGATAAAAAAGAAGCAAAACCTGTTAGCGCAGATACTTAGTAACGCGACGTGGGTTCAGTTCAATGGTTTCAGCAAATTGTGATCTGAATTCAGGAAACATTGATACTAGCCTGTAAAGAAAGTATGGTGCTGTACATGATCAAACATTGTTATTTTTACAACAATATCCTTCACTCGCAGATACAGGTATGACAGGAAATACGCTGAGCAGAGTTGCGTCCCTTGGGCACGCCAGAAACCTATGATCGTTGGTTGGAATCCCGGTTCGCCCTGATTATGTTTCTAGGTTTGTCAGCACCATACCCGATCTCGTGGGTTTCACCAAGGTGGTAAACGTCTGAGACCTGCATCACTTTGAGCTTTCCTTCCACATAAAGATGACACGCTGTAATAACACGCAGAGATAACTGGAATACTGTTCTAAGCGTAGTTAAACACAACTCACTCACTCACTCACTCACTCACTACTTAAGCAGTAATTCATGGTACAACAGTCAATATTGTATGCCAATTTTGGGTTTTTAACTGAAATTTAACATATGGTGCAGTGGTCATGACCGAGGAACTTCCGATCTCATTAAAATGAGATCTTAGTTATCGCTGCCGTCACACGAAGATCTGAGGACATCCCATTGCAGGTCACGTCAGGACGACCTTTCGCGAACTTTGACCGTCAAATGAAATTACTGACACGAAGT